AGAAAAAAAAAACATGAGAAGGAGATGTTTCTAGCCATCAAGTTGGCCACATTCAACCCATCAATTATTAGTGTGAATATGGGAAAATGACAAGAAAATAAAAGGGAAAGGGAAACTTTTTTAATAACCATCTCTTCAGCAAATTTGTTGAGTCAAAAAGGCTGTGACTTTTATCCTTAAAATAATGAAATATGAATCAAAATGTTTGTATGCTGCTGGAAAACAACAAAAGGGAAAAATACAACAAGATGTTCTTAATCTTATATTATGAGCTAATTATTGGGATTTGGAAATGGTATTGAATACTAATAATCATTATTTTTGTATAGCCATCTATTTTTTGGACCAACAACTAAGTAATATTTAACATGGAGGAATGTTTATTTCTTTCCTTTTTTAGTACAACAATACCAATACAGGGAGATGATTTAAACTCACAACTTTGTGATTGGAGATATATGTGTCTTAACTAAGTGAGATATGTTCATTTTGACTAAGATCAAGAAATGCTAATAAGAGTTTATTAGTTATATACAAATGAATAGATAATGAACTACCTTTGATTATGTATTAGAGTAGATTCGTCGACTTCATTAAATTGTCCATATTTCACAAATTGATTGGTTCGACTTAACTGTCAAAAGGGCATCCTAAATGAAAAAATAGCTCATGATCCCGCATCTAAGGAGAGGTTGAACTCTAATCTTTTCTCTTGAGTATAGTCACTACCAAAAAATGGGACATCACTTTCTTAGTGAATTAATTATTATATTTATAAAAAAAAAGAGAGACTAACTCCGCCAATTTGAACATCGCTCAAGTGGATAAAATACCTATTAGACTATTATTATATTTAAAGTCGATTATTCAATCCTCCGCCCTAATATTGTCAAACTAAAAAAAATTGATGGATCTTAAAAATAAAATCATGATCGAACCATAAGTTTGTAAAAGTCAAATTGTGAACCTTTTTTAATTGCAATGCCAAGAATCATGCTTGGTAATATGATTTAGTTTTTTTTTTTCTCTATATCATTAGATTGCAAAATAAGAGAGTAGATTCGATGACATGAATCTTAACAAAATATCTAACCGTTAAGAAAACATATTTTGTCATTATTTTCATCAAAGTAACGATTTAGCCAATGGATTTTAATATGTTACAATTTATTTTTTACCAAAGGTAACGATTAGTTCCTTAACTTTAACACATAACAATTAGTGGTGTTCATTTTCCCCGTAGATTTCTCATGAGGGGAAGAGACTTTTACCTGCCACTTAATTGGGGACGAGGATGGGGAATACGCTCGTTCACATTTCCCACCATGTCTCACCCTGCCACTTCATATATGTATATACTAGAAAGTAAAACCCAATACTCATGATCTACTCAAGTCGCTGCGGTATTTTCTCCCTCCCTCACTCGCAATCTCTCAATCTCTCTCGAATTTCTCACTCCCACTCTCAGTTCCTCTCCTCAAGCATCAATGGTGAGTCCAACTAGCGACTCCAACGACTCTCAGATATCTCTCTCGATCGCTCAATAAATGAGGAATAATTTTTCACAAGGAACTCGATCCTTGCAAATTTTTCGTGAAGAATCTCCATCCCACAAAATTTCGTGAGAGAAGGGGATTGGGGAAAGCTTCCTTATCCCCGCCCCACCAAAAAACACCTCTAGTAATATATTTAATACATATAATTTAAAATTCGCAACAATTTAGTAGCAACAATTTTGTAAATTTTAACCATAGAGACTGAACCATTACTATTATGTATTAAAGTTTGGAGACTAAATAATTATAGATGCGAAAATATTTTAACTCATGCCTACCTCTCAAGCGAGTCGGTTTCCAAATTTTTTTTAATACTCAATAATAGTACAGAATGAAGGTCAAACTATCAACTTTTGAAACGACACTCAGCTAAAGTACACCCTAATCATGACCTTTATTCTCGAAAAATGATTTGATGTTAATTGGGTGGGGAGATTATTTGGGTTTTCAAAGTCATGAAAGTGCAAAGTTCTAGGGGGGAATGGTTTCACTATCTCCTTACTTTCCCTAGAAAAAACAACAGGTACCCAAAAGAAAAGAAAAAACAAAGGGATTGTGTAATCTCTATTCACTTCATTCCCCATAATACACTCCATCACCACGTCGCCTAGGCGCTATCTCTTCCCTGCCACTCGCCCACCACCCCAGACGCAGAACCCATCTGCCTTCGCCACTCCCGCCAACGCTTTCACGCTCTATTCCCCTTTATATGCCCAACAAAGCAATTTCGTCCCATTAGGCCCGCTCTTCATGGCTTGCCTGAGCGATGAGACCTGGGCCGCCACCCTCTCCAATAAGCTCGCCGATTGCGCTTCTCTCCGTGAACAAGAACATGCCGGAGATCGACCCACCCTTTTCCCTGCGGATTCTCTGCCATTTGGGCTCGAGAGGGTCTTCCCCGTTTATGCCATGGGATCCTCGAAGCCCGCCGCGGCCCCCGCCACCGTGGCGGCGAATTTGGGCGACCCAATTTGGGACGCCGTCAGAGAGGAGGCCAAGTTGGAGGTATGCTTATCGAACACCCTCCGTTCATTTCACTTGCCGCCCTAGCAAATAGACCAGTTTACTTTCTTGGGTTATGGGTTTTCTTTTTTCCCTCTCTATTTAGGTTTTGGGTTTCGTTTCCTTGTTTAGTAAGATCCCATCATATGAATATGATTGGTTATTTTCTTACAAATTGACTTCGTTTAGCTTTCTTATTAGGCTAGTTTTGAAAAGGGGTTGTTGAGTTGGTGTGGCTCTGACTTGATTGTTTTCTGTTATGAACGAATTTGCCTTATTGGGAATGGAGTATTTTTCATCTATGAAGTCAATGAGAATCCATTTCATTGACAAAATTTCGTACAGGCTGAGAAGGAGCCGATTTTAAGCAGCTTCTTGTATGCCAGCATCTTGTCACACGATTGTTTAGAGCAAGCATTGAGTTTTGTTCTTGCCAATCGGCTTCAAAACCCCACGCTCTTAGCTACTCAGTTGATGGATATATTTTGTGATGTCATGATGAATGATAGAAGCATTCAAAATTCCATTCGCCTAGATCTGCAGGTAAAATCTGTCTCGGAATTTGCTAAGAGGGGTCGTGCATTCAAATTATTGTCTCATTTCCTCCCTAGTCTACTGGAAATTTTTGCCAATTTGAAACCTCTTAGTGAACTTCCTTTTGCAGGCCTTTAGAGATCGAGATCCAGCCTGTTTGTCGTATAGTTCAGCGTTACTGTATCCCAAGGTAATTGATGTTTTTCAAATCAAGCGGCCGAGTTTGGTTCAATGGGACCATTCCCATTGTCACATCATTCCTGAAGATCTCTTTTAGATAGTGGCATTCTATGTGTGCTCCTATTGTTATAACTCAAACCACTTTTCAATTGGTTTCTTTCTGATATCAGTTTGCTGCTTCTTGCAGGGTTACCATTCTCTACAGGTACATAGAGTTGCACATGCTTTATGGAGCCAAGGTCGCAATGTGTTGGCCTTAGCATTACAAAGCCGAATTAGCGAGGTAAATTGATACTTCTAGGTGACATCTTTGTGTTGCCATCCGAGTGATCTTTAGTTGATTTTGATGATTATTTTATTGTTCCTTTTTTCTTTTTGGCAGGTTTTTTGTGTTGACATCCATCCTGGTTAGTTAATCGACTCAATCATCACCCTTTGCTATAAGTTTTGAGATATCGAACAAGAGCGGTGCTTTGTTAAGACTTAAAATAATGAGGCAATTGCTTTGCGTGCGGAATTTCAAAATAAGATTTAATGGTGCTGTGAGAAACAACTCAATTTTGTCATCTTATGAGATTATAAATTGTCAACTAAGAAGCAAGAATGACTTGGTCAATGAATTGTTGAAAGTCTATGTGTTGTAGATGTCTCTTTTCAGAAGGTTGACCATTGGCAGAGTATCGGTGTTAATCTAAGATCATATTCCTGATTTCCTGTTCTAAACTCTGAGGTTTTTTTTTTCAGCTGCAAAAATCGGAGATGGAATACTCTTAGATCACGCGACCGGTGTTGTTATTGGTGAAACAGCTGTTGTGGGTAACAGAGTTTCATTGATGCATGTAATTCCTTTTCTTATATTTTTGCTTCTTATGAATTCTTTAACTGTTATCTCTTTTGCATTTATTTCTTTAAACTGCAATTCCGTCTCGACTTTTGTACGAGAATTGAGACACAGGCTCGATTGGTTACATAAAATGTTAAAGTAAAGAGCAACTAAAGTCTTTCAAAGTTGTATACTGGGTTGTTGCTTTCCACCTGACAACAATGTGTCACAAGTTGAAATTTGTAATGGTTCATCTCGGGCACAATTCTTTAATGCCTTAGAAACTGAAATATGTTCTCATTCGGGTAGTGGAAAAGTAAAATGAGTTTAGAGGGAATAATTTTAAATCGTGGTCACCCACCTATTACAACTTTTTTTGGCAATCAAATCTTATAGGGTTGGATAGTTATCCCACGTGATTAGTTGAAGCCAACTACTCTTGGATTCCAAAATGAAAAAAATAATAAATTTTGCAATTTCTTCAGTAGTAATAAATTTATTTATCTGAACGTATTCTGTATATCAAGATTATATTATTTATTTCATTTGTCTTGAACTTATTATCTTCTTGCTCTAGGTTATGTTTATGCTCACCTGTCAACTGAATCTGCTGTTTTTTTTTTCGGGTCAATTTTCTCAGGTTGTAACTTTGGGGGGCACTGGGAAAGAAGTTGGCGATCGTCATCCTAAAGTAGGCGATGGTGCACTAATCGGAGCCTCTACTACCATACTGGGAAACATTAAAATTGGCAATGGGGCAATGGTGGCTGCTGGTTCCCTTGTGTTAAAAGATGTCCCCCCACACAGGTTTGAGCTTTAAAGCCATTATCATTATCATCTGAATGATGCTTTTTTATTTCAATTCCGTAACGAATGTAATATATTCGAATCAGAACCATGACGTATCTTGTTTGTGTCGTTCTGTAGCATGGTAGCTGGAATCCCAGCCAAGTTGATTGGGTATGTAGAAGAGCAGAATCCCTCTTTGACAATGAAGCATGGTATGTATAAAATTTTTCTTGAAACAAAGCATTTGATATCCTAAGCTTTTCATATCGACGTATTTACTCTAAAACTCTCTCTCTTTCGTGCACAGATGCTACCAAAGAGTTTTTTGAGCATGTCGCTGGTAGTAATTGTTGCAGTGATGCTAGAGCCAACAGTTAGCACTCTATATTAGTCGGTCAAATAACACATTCTGGGTTTGGATTTTCATGATCAGTCTACACAATACGAACACGATCCAATTAGAAGAAGCTTATCTCTTGATTCTGGGGCTTGGTTTTCTGCAGGTCAGTGCCCCGAAACTAAGGATAGTCGGCACTGAGGGCCTGCTTCCACCCTCGTTTCAATAGGCGTCCGTTCAGCGTCTGAATGACAAAGTGCAAGTGGTATATTATAAAGCTTGTTCTTTTAGATTAGTTTTTACTTGGTAAGGTAATAAGATGAAATGTAGTAGTAGGAATCGGAGAGGATTATGCTCCGGTAAGATTGGGGAATGTTTTTGTATAAATAATTGCGTTTTTGTATAAATAATTGCATCTCTTCTTAAGTAATGTATAAAAGTTTTTACAATTAACCCTACTGCTGTCTACTCAGCACATTCGGTTCGCTTATTGTTTGTGTTATAAATTTATAACTGAGTAAACTTAATGAAGATGATGGGTGGATGAAGCATGTCTTGCTTGGAAATCCTTCATGAAAGCAACCAACTTCTCAACTCCAGCCGAAGGCATAGCATTGTAAATCCTGTAGTCGAGCATCAACAGTGCGATTTCTTGAGTTTTTCCAATAAACAGATCTTTCCTGATGATCATGATGGTGACCCCGGATGATGTTCTTCTGAGCTCTGGCATAGATCACACCGAACTTGGAAATGTCGAGGGGTTTCGAGCAGAAACTCACAGACATTGACGCCACCAAGACGCTATTTTGATGCTCTGGTGATGGGTAGTTCTTGAATTCAATCCCTTTGATGGTCTCTCGTTTGAACAGATGTGCAAGTATTCCATATATGGGCTCTGTTCTAATTCACCAAAAACTTCCCAGATTTAACAGACCAAATCACCTTCGGTTTACTAAACTTCTGTGCCCCTTGAATGCCGTGTCGCCCCATGACCCGGTGACGAGATGATCAACAGTGCCGTTTGGCGAGCACAAGTGTAAAGGGACGGCGGCGAACTGGGTGTTGGCGCCACCTTGCAAGAACAGAACAGCAGCGTATTCTTGCAGAATGTTCAGTATAGTTCGGAGATTCAACTCAACCTACTCGATTATGGAGAGAAATTTCTTGCATTTCCATGACACCGAGAACTTCGATTGTGCTTTCTTGAGTACATTCAGGGCCCGCAGCGAAGTTGAAGGCTCGATCATGACTGTGAGATAGTGATCAGCAGCCATCTTCAATCTTGACGGTTGATGTCGTGCAAGTAATGAAGATCGATTTACTGGCGAGGGCGGGCAGCACATGGGTCTTCTGGCAGCGAATTCCAGCGAGTAATGACTGGAGGCCATTGCCGGAACTGGAATTGGAGAAGCAGAGCAAAAATAAGTACGGTAATCCGAAAAGGAAAAGAAAGAGTTTCTATTTCTTTATGGAAATTTTGACGACAACTTTAAATTTCTACATCAAGCTATAGGAAAGTTCTTAAAACTTGTTATTGGATTTCAAACGCTTACGTCAGATACTATTTTGGTTCGGTATTTTTTTTGGTTCATTTTTAATCCGTAATTAAAACATTTTGATTAATGTACTTTCATTTTTTATTCTCATTTTGGTCATTGTATTTTCAAAATATCCATCATTTTGATTTTTTTACTTTTTAAAAGCAATTTTGGTTTCTTCGTTTTTATGTTAATCTCATTTTTATTTCAATTAAACACGTCTCTTCTCTCACTAACTTTTTTTTAAGTATTACAAGGTTTTCGATTTGTCAAACATTTGCAAATAGGGATCAAATTGACCACTCTTTAAAAGTATAAGGATTGTAAATATTTTGAAAAGACTTAAATGAAGAAAGTTGAAAATATAGAGAAATCAATCGAATGAACATTTTGAAAATATAGGGATCAAAATGGAAGTCGTTAAATTTGACAATTATTAGGAATAGAATGTGGCAGATAAAAATAATTAGACATTAGAAATCTATGTAAACATTAAATATAATAATAATAATAATAATAATAATAATAATAAATAATGTTGTGAGTTAAGGAAAAGGGAGATGGAAATTGAAGTTGGAAATATAGGCCAGAGGCCAATATTATTCTTTGCCACTGAATTATATATGTTTGTCATCTGAATGCTGTTGTTGAATGAAACTTTAAAAAGAACAGACAAAAAAAGAACAAACTAATGGCCAACATTGGAGAACGCAACCATCTGGTTGCTCCTCTCCATTATTGTTGTTGTCCTGTCCTGCCGCCCGGCCGACCGATCCATCCCCGCCCTGCCCGCCGCCCGCCCAATTTTGAACATTCATGTAATGCTGTTAGTAAGAACTATACATGTTCTGTTCTGTTGCTATTGCTGAGTCTGCAAAAGAAAATGTGCAGGTTCACATTTCGCCGTGTAGTTAAATTTTGATGTACAGTACTTCCTATGAACCCCGGTGAGCTTCCCCGTCGCCGCCTTCTGATGGAGCCCCACCATCAGCCTCGAGCATTCTCTGCAAAATTCGAATTTGCCATTAATGGATATATCGAAAAAATGAAGACGAGCACAGAGGAAAAGATAACAAAAAGCCATACAGGAGCTGATCTTCTGAGTAGCTGGAATGCCACTCGCAAGTCACGCTCCACCCCTCGACTCCGGTGAGAGTACATTGAGCTGTGTAAGTCGCCGCTGCCGCTAGTAGAGAGGGTGGAAATCTCAGCATTTCATACTCCACGAGCGAGAGCTCGATCAAGAAGAATGCCATAAGCTCGAGCTGCTTCATTCAGAGAAATCTTACTTACAAGGAAGGAGGGGACAATTGCCTCCGAGCTAGTTTAGTACTAAAAGAAAGAATATAGAATCGCGTACCTTTTTGTCTGACTGAGCAGCCTTTAGGAACCTTTGGAGGAAAACGAACGGCGTCGGGACCGACATGTTAAACTGCAGACAGTTGAGCATCACTGTCTCCTGCATAAACACAAGGAGAGGAGCTCAGCAAAAAAAATTCACAGATAGAGAACTGATTGATGCTACAAGAGCCAAAAATGGAGTTACCATTTCAAGAACTTCTTTTCTAGAGTAGGCTTTATCAGAAATAAGAATCAAATCCCCCACAATTGGAACAGAAACCTCCTCATATTTGCAAGCCAAGAGCATAGAAACCAAACCAACCAGCTGAAGCTTCTTTCTCACAACTGTTTTTCGAGACAAAAATCTGTCTATGAGATTCACGGTGAGAAACAATGTCTCTCCCATGAGATCAAACTTGTCGTGCACCTCTATAAGCCAGTCAATAAGTATAGCCCTCATCCTCTCGTTAATGTCAAATTGCTGCGCCATATAATTTGGGGAAACACAGCTCGAATTCTGGCATATGATAAAAAAAGCCACAAATAAGATGAAGAGATCACTCCTTAAAGAATGGCAGCCAAGACTTGAAATTTACCTCTATTTTTCTGTAGTGTGCGTAGAGATCGTCCACATAGTCGACAACCGCAAGCGGGTTCTTGGAATCGACACCATCGATGTCAATTACCGGGTTGTCGCAGTCGTCTTCTGCAATATCTTCCATTTCGACTTCCTCCTACAAAATAATCCAAAAGATCATGAGTTTGAAGGGAGGTACAAATTGAGTTTCTGATGGGGGATTTAGGATTTATTACCATCTGGCTTGGTTCCTGAGGCAATGGTGATTCTGTTTTCTCCAAGAACATGGGAACTGGGCTGTCGTTTTCTGCTGTCTTGCATTCCTCGTCTACAAATATGGATTGTCCAAACGCATTTGAGTTTGTGAGCAATGAGTTACCCTTACTATTTTCCTGCCCACGTGAAAGAAAAAATCTCAAAGATCCATTATCAATAGGCGAGTGATTTAAGAACACAGAACGAATCATTACCTGGGGATGATGAAGCTGTTGGCTACTCGCAATTTGAGCAGCAAACTTCCTAAAAAAGACAACATTTTCAAATTCAAAACACACCATTTTCTTCTCAAACCTCAGAGAAACCAAATCTAATCGAAACCCACCTTGTAATTGGTCTGTGAAATGGATCAACCTGCTTCTTCTCACAGATCTCTTGCTTTCTACGGCAAAAAAAAAAAAAAACAAAAAAACAAAAACAAAAACATCTCAACATTGGAATTTCGTCACCAAATTTGATAACATTAAGGAAGTCGAAGAATCAAACTGTGTACCCGGCGAGGACTCTCTTGTTAACAACAGGGTAAGCTTGATTCACCATAGAATTGTGATTAATGTCATTAAGAGCCCTCCGATTGTTATTAATTCCACGAATCTCTTGCCCAAACGCCCTCCCACTACTCTTCTTCTCCAGCCCTCCTCCTAAAAAACACGATTCACAGAGCCAGAAGCAGAAATTGTAAATAAAAAGAATCGCAACTTTCAGAGATCTCTGCAAAATCGAATCACTCATCAGTCCAAAAGAAGCAAACCTGGAAGAAACCCAGAGGTGGGTTTGATCAAGTTCGGATTGTTCTCATCGGAAAACGCCATTGAAGGAAAAATGGAGAGAGGAGAAGAAGAATTCTGCAAAATCCGTCAAAACCAGCGAGTGGGTATTGTTAAAAGAAGCATCTAAAACGACCCAATGGGGGAATTTGTCCAGAAAAGGTATATTAATTAGACGCCATGTATTTTTTTTTTTTTTTTGGTTTTTGAAAAGCAACGGCTAGTGGAATGTGACCGTTGGATTGTGTGTGGGTTGGCTGATGCGAAAAGGAGAAGACTTTCCCTCTGGGGTTTGTCCGAACAACGGTCACCTGACCTGGTTTTTGGTGTTCATAGGGGCATGTGGCCCTTTTTACCGCATCTCATTTTCAAAATTCAATATTCCAATTCATTGCTTGCTTCTGGATTTCACTTACCTTTTCTTAATGTTTTATCCAATCTTTTTGACTAAATGACAACTTTTTTTCTTAAACATAAATGGTAAGGCTTTTGGTATTCATTCACGCGCTTCCATCGCCAAAGGAATTTATTTATTTATTTATTTGCTGCAAAGCTGTGGAATTTCTTATCTTTAATGACAAAAGACTAAAGTAGTGTAATTGCTCCTTTTTTTTTCTCTCTCTCATTTCAAGTTCTTTGGGTTTTACTTAATTGTGAATTGGAAAAATTTTGTTATCATGATTGTTTGACTTACATTAATGGCTATGATGTTTTAGGGCATTCTTTCATCATCATCATTAGGGAGATTCAAATTTTAATTGGGATAAAGAAGACTATGAAGTAATTTTGATTAAAGGTTTTGAGAGTAATAAATGATTATTCTAATTTAGTTATTTTTATCTGATTTAGTATTTTTCTGGCTGACATCCTTATTTGAGATAGCAATGAAATGGAGCCTTTGTTTTATCCATCACCTCAAATTCAAAAAATAAACATAGGTTCACAAAATCTTTCATGGGGATTAGGTAATTTCCTTTTTCCTTTTCAAACGACACTACATTCTTTGCACTACATTTTTTTTCAATCGAAATACATTTTAGTTATTGAGACACTTGAACTTTTTTGTTTGTATTTTATTATTCAATAAATAAAAATGAATTATATAGTATAATGTGCAACCTGATATTGGACAATATACAAATTTAATTATTTAAGGTACATATTTTTTATCGAAAGATTATGAATTCAAATATCCATTTTGTATTAAAAAAAATTAAACGTATCATTTTAGAATATAGAGTGGGCTATACTAACTTCCGAGATAAAAAAAAAATAATAATAATAATAGGAGAGCGTGGGGTTAAAAAGGAGTGGGTTCCCATTTACAGCTTGTCCCCAAAAAAGGGGTGGCTCCAACGTGCCGATTGGTTGGCTTTTTTTGAATTTATAAGATGTGGATGGCTCTTAAAAGAGGGGGTCCAATAATAATACTTCCTTTTTCTTTTTCTCATTTTTGGCTCCTCTCCTATATCTCATCCACTTTCCAATATGAATAATATAGGAGAATCATTTCATTTCCATCTTTGGAGATCCAAGAGAGTGTTAGACCCGATTTCAGTGTGAGAAATTCAGCACGATGAGAATTTGGAATTGATTGGATTCTAGTTCGAGCAAATGCGAGTTATTGAGTTTGACACAACCAGTCAAGGAATATTTAGTCATGTCTGGTTTTAATGACAATATCTTTGTTAGGGCCTACTCTTGTTGATCGCAGTTAATTAAGTTTTTTACCCACAGAAAAAAGAAATGATATTTTTATATATATATATATTTTTTTAAATAAAGAGATGTGAAATTTTTATGGTGGTCAGCAGGAAGATGGGTGTTGACTGATAAACATGTAAATACTGGTCTTCCAATACACACCAACTTTTGTTCTCTATCAACTAGTAATGTTTTTGGTTGAACTACACTTTTTTGCCTTTAAAATTTACCCACAAGTTTAATTTGTTCTCTAAAATTTAAATTTTTTTTGTTCCAATTCACCAGACTTTACAAATTTGAATCAAGGGATTGGCAAGAAAAAGGAAAAAAAAAATCACATGGGTGTGTTTTAGGTTTCAATCCTACAAATTTTATTCATAAATTTTTAAGGTTGTGTCCAATAAGTTACTAAAGTTTAAAAAGTATATATTTTGTATTTTGTGTCTATTTTGTGCTGCAAAAGTTTTGTGCATTAAAAGAAAATTTAAGGCAAATTTCGCTCAATGAGATCAAATTAAGATGTATTTTTTTTTAACTTTTTTTTATAATAAATATAGCATAAATTTTTACTTTTCTTAATATAATTTATATCATATTTAAGTTTGATTTTGATTGAATTGTACTATTTTTTTTTAATTTTGATCTTTATACTATATTTAAAAATACATATTTATTTTATACTATATATATATCTAATTGCCTAAAATATTTTAGAATAAATATTATATTACAAATGTGGGAGGTTGAAAATACAATTTGTTAAAATTTATGGGCCAAATTAGAAATGAAATAAACTTTTGAGACCAAAACTATAATTTTAGCAATTATAATAATTGCAATTTAAACTTATGTTTTAATGTAGGCAACATTAGCATAGTTCAGACTTTAGCGTCAAGACATTTTATTCCTTTTCTCAAGGTCGGAGGTCCAAACTCCCACCCTTTATTAGTTGCATATATATTTTTTCGAAAAGTCTCAGTTATTGTACTTAACAAAATAAACTTATGTTTTAATATTTCAAGAAGTGAAATATTATTTGTTGGTGTGGTTGATAATATTGACTCGTCAACATTTTATTTATGTTAAATTACAATTTCAAAATTCAATTTATATTCTATAACAATATTTTTACCTTAGTTTTAAGCTAGAGTATATGCCATTAATTACAAGGTAAACAAAAAAATCTCTTAATTTAAAAAACATAGGACTAAAACCCTAATTTAAAATGAAGAGATAATTGGATCTTCAAAAAATGTGATAATTATGAATAGTCAATATTAAATAAAAAGGTCTTTAACTTTAAAAACATAGGACCAAACCCCCTAATTTAAAATGCGGAGATAATGGGGGAAAAAGTGATAATGAATAGTCAATCATCGGACTAGTTATTTCTGAAAAACAGTGTTGGGGTTAATACTAATTTACCAAATATATGATTCAATTATTAAAAAAGAATGTACAAAAAAATATATCACAGAAAATGACCTAAGTTTTTTTTTTTTTTTAGACTCAACTATATGCAGAGTAAAGATTTGAAATCTTGGACCTTTTAATTAAATATTTAATGTCTTAACGAATTGGTTTATGTTGATCAGATTGTTAACCCTTGACCGATGTCGTCTAATTTCTTAGCTTAAAAGTAATTAGTTAATTTAAAAAAATAATTGAATGCCATTTTCAAATAATTAATAACATATAATTTGTTTCAAAACATTTGAAGACAGAAACAATGAAATTATAATAATACATCAGTAGAATTTATACCTCATTTGATTGGATGGTGCTATTTTTGAACAATTTGAAACTTTATGCTTTATTGGAAAATACGTATTTATTTTATGTTACTTATATAGATATACCTCTAGAAAAATATTAGTAGAATTTACTTATGTTTAAATTTAATTTTAGTTCCTAAACTTTCATAAGGTATTCTATCTTGAAAACTATTTTTGGTCCATGAACTTTCACACATTTATGAATTTTCAAAGAAATAATCATTTTGGTCATTCATGTATTATTTTACCACATAATATTTATTTATCAAATACTTGTTTTTAACCCAGGTAAGTTAAACTCATACTCACATTAACACGTTATTACACATACTTGAAGTCCAATCTATTCAATTTTTTTAAAGATTAAAATTATCATTTTGACGCTTTGAAAAATCAGAGATTAAAGTAGAATACAAATTTATAGACCAAAATAGAGCTTTTGAAAATTCAAAGGCGTAATAGGGTTTAAACTAATAACTTATCTATTGAATGGGATAAAATTAGACAGGTGAAGAGCGTGGCCGATCGGCGGCGACCGAACCGAAACTCGTAAAATTTAATTTGTTAATAAACGAACGTGAACCGGCGCAGCCTTGCATGCATGCATGAACGTAGAGGTACAGTTGGTCGATCGTTGGTTAAGACAAAGAGTCGCACCTCTCTGAAATGAAATGGAGAGACATCAAAAATTCAAAACTCCTCGGACTTAACGGAAAATAACTGCCTTAACTCACACAATATTATAAAGAAAAAAACTTCCCTTCCGTATTCTCTGTTTGCGTACGAATGAAATTCCCCATCCCTTGTTGCTAAATTTGATGGAGAGGGACCACAACAACCAAGACTCCTCCTCCGACGAGCACCGCGGTGGTGGCAGCGACGATGTCGATGGCAACACCCCTCCCAAGACTCCTACCGGTGGCTTCGAGGACGTCGTAGTTTCTTCTTCCCCGCAGGAGACTTCTGGGAAGAAGAGAGGGCGAGCCGAGGAGCAAGCAGGAGGGTCGAGTAGTGGCGGCGGGAAGGGGAAGAAGAAGGGGGAACTGATCGACCCGCCCTCCACCGACCCGAAATGCGCCACGTGTGGCAAGATTTTCGGCTCGTGGAAGGCGGTATTCGGGCACCTACGGTCCCACCCGGAGCGGGACTACCGCGGGGCCTTCCCGCCGCCGAAAATGTGGGAGGAGATGCTTCGGCAGGAGGCAGTGCGGCGGCAGCATGGTCAAGACCAAGGCAGCAGCACCACAGAGATGGGGACAGGGACGTCTTCTCCGTCCGGCCGGGGGATCGGAATCGATCTTAATGACCCGGAAAAGCCCCACAGCCCGCCGGATAAGGGCGGCTTCCCGTTTGATCTCAACATGCCGGCACCGGAGAGTGACGAGGAGGATCACAAATAAGTGAGAGTTGAAGAGATTATATTTACAGTTGAATAATTTATATTATGAGGGTATGTATGTATGGATTTATATTCAATAATTTTCCTCCCTCTGCATTTTAGTTACTTACCTCTATGAATTCTCTTCTTATTTTCGGTACTCATAAAAATGGTTTTATTATATGGCTTATATATTACGAGTTCGTTGAAATGTTGCACCAATTTTTGCGGGTTTGTTTTTTTAAAAAAATTCATTTTGGTGTTGTATGTTGTTGGATCTATTGACATGCATATATATATATATAGGGGAGAAAAGTTGCTGCTCTATGTGAGTTAAAAAATGGTCAGTTTAGTTTTATGTAATATTTGAAAAAAAGTATTTAGAACGATCTGAGTTTTGAAGTAAAATCTAATTAAATATGAATGGCTAAATAAATGGAGGGCCGAAATAATATAGATTTGTTCTTAATATTTGGGTTGTGAGAATTGTATTTAAAATACAAATGAATTTTCTTTGATTTGGTATAAGGATTGTAATTTTTTTCAGTAAGATTAAACCTCCAAACTTTAGGGTGTAAATTTAGTATTGAGTTACGTTCAGTTATAAAATATATAAAATATATTGTAATTGAATGTAAATAGTTGAGTTCTTTTTCTTAAAACTAACATTATTGTATTTAACCAATTGTCTAAAGTTTTTTGTTTTGGAATAAGTGTTCTTTCTGTATTAATGTTTAACGACCATATAAAAAAACTGATTGTTTTTAGTTCTTTTTTTTATTTTAGTATTTCGAAGAATTGATTGTATATTTTTATAAATTTAATAAATTTGTAAGATTTAAATACTATTTTAGTCGTACTAAAAAAATACTATTTTAATTGTTGTACTCTGGATTTTGGTTTATTTCCGTTCCTATATTTCTACAACGTCCATTTTGATCCTTATAATTTCATCTTTTATTCGTTTTAGTATTTGTACTTTCAAAACATCGATTCTTATATTTAAAAAAATGACTATCTTAATGTAATATCAATTTATTTAAAATAATATAGAAAGATAATTAAAAAGACGTAAATGATAAATTTCGTGAACAGCAAATGTGGTTGGGCTTAGAAGTCCAGCCTAACCCAAAGCCCATTTTAGTTGGGCTTTCTATTCACCTTAATATCCAAATTTCAAGTCAACAGTTCCTGGGAGGGGGGATGAAAACTTTTTTTTTAAAACGTTATCGTAATTATTTTTATTTTTAAGATTGTGTAAAAATTTAAAAATTATTTTTTCCGTTTTCAGTTTTTCTTTTTTTCAAAATACAAACAATATAAAATATAAAATTTGAATACTTAATTTTAAATTTTAATTTTCATATACAATTTTTTTAGTTTAAAATTTTAGCAAACGAAAAATAATGAATAATTACTTAACATGTTTTTGTTTCATTTTTCAATAAAAAAATAAAATAAAAAACAATTATCAAACAAAATTTTGTTTGTATTTATTAACAAAGAAGAAGCAAGAAATAAAAAAAATCTCTTATTTTTATTTCATTTTTCATTTTCTCCTTTTTAATAAAGAAAATATAACTGTTTTCGTTTTCTCCTTCTCAATAAAGAAAATATAACTTTCCATAAAAAAATTTAATAAAGAAAATATAACTGAATTTGATAACTAATGTTTTGTTAAAATATAAGTTGAAATGTATTTAATAATCATCTCTTGTTTTCTAAAAATCTTAATTTAAAAATCTGATAAATTACATAAATGAATGACACAACTAGCACATGGACTATTTTGACATGGTTCTAAAGTTTGAGGTAGTTACATAAATATTGTATTTTTAAATAAAAAATAAATAAAATTTTACAAAAATGGCATAATTAAAATCAAACTCAAGCTTTTAAAATAAATGTTATATTAATATTAGGTAATGCAATTAATCCTAAAAAATAGTTTAATACTATTTTAGTTCCTCTAAATTTTGATCAATGTAATTTTAAGATATTTATTTTGTTTATTTTGTTTTTTTTTTACTTTACTTTGAGCTTGGTGAGTTTTTGGTCCTCTATTTTTAAAGAGTTAATATTAATATTTTGGTTATATATACTATTTTGGTCATATATATATATATATATATATATATATTTCATGTCTCCGCAATTTTTTTTTGTCTATATATATTGTTCCCTATTTGTAAAATTTTATATAAGACGAAATTTTTTTAATTTTTTTAAGTATGGCACGTAGGATCGAACTCATTGAAAATATATGTCAATTGTTGAGCTATACTCGTTTTGACTACACTTAATTTTTTGAATACTAATTTAGGGTTACATTTAAATAAATCTATTCAGTGAATTGTCATTCTAAAATTTTGATTAAAATAAATGAGGTAAAAATGAAAATAAAATAATCAAAATAGTTATTTTTTAAAAGTAAATAAACTAAAAACCAACCAAAATTGAAAATATAAATACCAACCAAGGTTTTGAAAATACCTAAACCAAAATAAACCAAATCTGAAAGGAGATAACTAAAATAGTATTTAAAAAAAATTATAATTTAAGTATTCTAAAATAAAAATGAAAATTTAAAATGTGAGTTGATTATAGACCGTCGAGATTGAGATGGTGGGTCGCACGCCCACGAAGAACAATGTGGTTTAAGTTTGAACATTTGTCCGATGCGCGAGCAAAAGTCGTTACTCAATCGTTTACCTGAACCTTAAATTCTGTTAAACAATGGAGAGGTTTCCGCCCAAAAATTGAAAATTTTCCAATACCCATTTGGAAGGCACACACAATTTTTTCAGCAGCTGATTTTTTAGAATTAGAAATCATCTCATTTCCTCCACCCTCCATTGCCCACTTTCCTCTACTCTCTGGATCGGACCTCTCTCCGCGAGAGGATCTTTCTATTTCTTTCTCCTAATTTCGACTCCCATCTTCACTTGATTGCATTTTGGAAGTGTCACAGAACATCGTTTAATCGGGGTATGGCGTTGATGAATTTAAGTTAATTGTATTTACGTTTCTGCTTACTGTGTCTTTTGATTATTTTGTTAGTGGATTGGATCCAAATAATGATGGAGAAGGCAGATTCTGCACAGAAGTTGTACACACGTATGCGATTATGGGAGTTTCCGGATCAGTATGTAATTGAGCCGACGGATGGCTCTTGTGGCTCGTCTTTGTCTGTCAGTCGCATCGATGGATCGATGAAACTTATAGGTTGGTGACGGGATTTTTACCTTTTTTTGGCTGGATTGAAATGCTTGGTCCCATTGGCTTCAGGATGATTCTGGCATTTTGTGATCTTGTTGGTTCTGGATGTTTTACTGAGTTGAGAATTTTCATCTTTGCTTCAGATGAGCTTCCTCAATGCAGCTCTATCAGGGTTCCCAAGATAAGGACAATTTTTGGAATAATTGGCTTGCTGAAACTCTTGGCAGGTGACAAATTCGAGTTTTCTTTATACAATTATGTACCCCGTCCCTGGTTCACCGTATTTGTCTGCAGTTGTCATTATGAAAGTTGAACCGTGTTGGATGATAATGGTCGACACAAGAAGATATAAGATTTAAGAACATCATATTGACTAGGGATAAAAATAGTCACGGAAAACAAAGCTGTAGAGAGCGTATCTTTGCTTGCTAAACATAAATGAGTTTGAAGAGAATTGAAATGAAATTAGTAAACACAAGATTAAAACATTTTTACTGGAAATCATTATGGAAGCAAAATCAAAATGGAGAGAGTTTCTAGCTACGGTGATCTACTAATATTGGGAATGAGATATAGTTTTAGCTTGGTGAGGCAGTGAGGCTGCATGGAAAGGGCGGAGGAGAAGAAAAAAAAAAGTATTGCAGACCACAATAAAGTGAGAGTGGGTTGAGATAGAGCCCGAAGTTAAATATTCCTTAGATAAAATAATGGATTTTAGCCTTCTTGTAGGACGAGATCAATGTTACAAACTTCTTAAGTATATTTTGACTCAAAATATTGGAAAATGCACTCATCTATTGTTGTTTTTTTTATTAGATAGTTTCTTGTTTGAATACCTGAAGGCCACATCATGGCCATGAAAGCGGAGTTGCAGTCACATTTTTTTAAATTCTGTAATGTGTACTTAAAGTTCGTAATTTGATCTCATCTTTGTAAAGGCAACCAATATGCTCGTTTATTTCACTCTATATTTTAAAATAATGTATACTTCTTAAGTTAAATATGGGAATTGGGGTGGATTAATTCTTATTCCTATTCCTAATAAGTAAACATGGTCTAATGTATTTTTTATTACAACGAAGAGAATAGTAATCATGTGGTTTCCAGATGGTCCTATTATTTGTGAGTTGGGGTCTAATTTTCATTTACTGCATGCATTGAGTATGTGCGGTTTTATTATACTTTATAAGAAAAAATGTAAGTTCCAACTCAATTTTACTTGAATAGAGGGAAAAAGGCCAGCCCACCCATAAACCAAACCTGTCATCCCCGGAGCAAAGTTCATACCAGAATGATTCATATTCAGAGCTCAAATTTCCATAATTCATACTTGTCACTTTAGTCAGCTATCCAGTGATTTCATTTTCTTTGTCCCTATGACGTTTTGAGAAGTAATCCCTGTGACGTTTTGAGAAGTAATGTATGGATCAGCTATATTTTGTTTTTGTTAATTAAGCTGCTCACATAATTAGATGTCCCACTATGTCGTGCCATCTTTCAGGATCATATTTAATTGTCATTACTGACCGTGAGTGTGTGGGATCTTATTTGGGGCATCCAATCTTTAGAGTTTCATCCTTGAAAGTTTTCCCATGCGATCATTCGGTAAACAGTTCTCCTGTGGAGCAGGTAAGACTATATTGCTTGTTTTCTTCTACAACACAGTAATAAATTGACAATATCATTTTATTTAAACTATTTAGACGATCTCTCACAGAAAAAGACGGAGGCCGAGTTTTCTGGACTCTTGAATGTTGCAGAGAAGACTTGTGGTCTTTATTTTTCCTACAATACCAATTTAACCCTGAGGTGAAGCGCTTTCCTCATCAGGCATATCTTTTTTATTAATATATAACATGGGTTAACAATTGCTGTGATGACAATTAACATGGGTTAACAATTGCTCGACGTGACTTGCCTCTGTATGTTTTTGGATATTCAGATTCGTCCTTGTGTTTTTATGTGCAGACATACATTAGCTACAGTTAAACTTCTTAGGTCTTTATATTTTGCTTAACTCATTAATGCTTCCCTTGATACTTAAGGTGTCCATGCATTAATCTCTCGCTCTCTTTTTATTACTCATCTTTTTCATGGCAGTGCACAAAGATTGCATGCTTTAGGTGACGAATCAAAGTTATTACCCTTATGGAGACAGGTTAGCCCTCATTTTGATTTTGATTATTTTGATTTTTCCTTTTGTGTATACATCTGTTGACACTATTGTTGAGCACAAGATTTATCTTGTTGTTGTGTCTAAAATTGCAAAGAATTAGGAGTCATACAAACAATTTTTTCTTGTCTGCAGGCAGAACCAAGATTTCTCTGGAACAATTACTTGTTGGAAGTGCTCATAGATAATAAGGTTGGATTAATTGAAATTTAGTTGTCATCTGTTGCCCCTTTGCTTCTAACCCTATTACCCTGAAATTCTGTGTGTTAACATTTATCTTCTCATATTTGCAGCTTGATCAATATTTACTTCCTGTTATCCAAGGAAGTATCCTTAACAAAATCTCAATTCAGTCCTTTTAGCTTTTGGTGCATGTGAATGGGGAGATACAGTTTATTTTGTTTAGTCTAAATTTTTCTTGGACTTGTTTGAATCATCAGTTGTCATCCTCTGGATAGTCTTTCCTTAATAGATTGTCAGGCTTCCAGAACTTTCAGGCTGCCATTGGGAAAGATATAGTTGATGTAACCCTGATTGCTCGGAGATGCACTAGGAGAACAGGTATTGCTTGTTTTATTTTATTTTATTGCAGCTGCAGTTTTACAATTCTTTTAATTACTAATTGTTTCTGAGAACTCCTAATTTAACTGGAGTACTCCTTATGTTTTTTTATTATTAAAACTAGAGTATTAACAATTGTTAGCTGGTTTTCTTGCTGAATTTGGTATTATTTTCTCTGTTATGTCAAGTTCTCAAGTGTTCCAAAAGGACTAAAAATAACATAGAATTGATAGGGCAAAGGGATTTTCACTCTGGCTCTAAATATTTGGTTGTCTCTTCCTTAAAAATTGAAGAGTGCATTACCTGAGTTACATATTCAAGGGTTAGGGTCCAAGTTTGACTTAAAGTTGCCAGCTGCCCTAATAGTATCTTAAAATATTATTTTGCACCAACAAGAAAAAAAGAACAAGCGTTGGTACATGGTGTACCCTCTGCACTCTCTTTTGTGATTATAATTCTTCTGTTATTAACACCATTCAGCAATGGGAGAGTCTTTTTATAATCACTTTTGGTTTCCTTTTGTACTTTTCATACCATCAGCGAAAAAGTTTAGTTTCTATATATATATATAAGTAGAGGCCAGAAGGGTCAAAGAGGAAAATTAAATTCTTAAACATTTTTAGGATATCTTTTCTAAATTGGAATTGAACAGTAAAAAATTACCGGAATCTTGAATTTTGTGCTAGATGATGATAGAATTTGGTAATCGGGTTTCCAGAGATTGAAGGAACAATATGAATGAAATGTTCCAACTATTCTTTCTGTCGGAACAAGATAAGTATGACTGTGTGAGATCATTGGTTGAAAGGACTAAAAATATTGTTCGAGGACATTGGTTGGAAGAATGAATATGAGAAGTTTGTATTTCTCCGTTACAAATCGTTCAATATACTACACTTCAACTTGAAGTTGTAAGATCTTAGAGTCTCCATTTTCCTTGGAAATGGAGAAGAGTGATCCTATTACTATATACAACTGTGAACAAATTTGATTAATTTTCTTCCGTATATGTACTTTTTCACGTGGGACATAATAATTGGATAGAAGACTATGAAATGTAGGAATTCTTACCAAATTATAAAGAAAGAGAGAAAGACGTTATGAGATGTTATTACTCTCATACTTTGTAAGTTTAACTTGTGATTAGTTGCAAGGAGAAGCGGAATATTTTGTGATCATTTTTATTCAGTGAAAGTCTTGGATAAATGTTGATTCATCAATGGCTAGCAGTTAAAAGAAACTTATCACATAATTATTGACCTGCATTTTCTGAAAGGAACTCGATTGTGGAGAAGAGGAGCCGATTCTGATGGATATGTTGCTAATTTTGTGGAAAGTGAACAAATTGTTCAATTGAATGGATTCACAGCATCATTTGTTCAGGTAACACTATACGTAGACCAATAATTTAACATTTATATTTTGCAAGTTCATGTCCTTTTTCTTTCCTTTAGTTGGAAATCTAAGTCATGTCGAAATAAATGATTTATTCAACTATTTTATGAATAGTTTTCAAAGTTATGAAGGTTTTTATTTATTATTTTTTTCCTTTTTGAAAAGAAACTAATAATTATTGAATAGAAAATTCTTGATGATTTTACTATACAAAACTAGGAAAATCATATTTGTTTTTGTTTCTACATCAGTAATGTTGAATAACTTGACTTATCAGTTTATAAGAAAAAATTTGTTGATATAGTTTTGGTTATGTAGAATTTTCCATTTTAAACGCTTTTCTTTTCCCTGAAAACAGAAACTTATCATTAAATCCGAAAGAAAATTACAAAAGGGGAGAAAAAAGAGAACCTCATAGCCAGCCAAAAGAGTCACTAAAAAACTCTTCTATTTTTTTGTCATCATAGCAACCCCATGATAGCCATCTACCTTAGGAATTAGTAATTCTTATGTGTTTTCCGGCACCAAGTGTTGTATGGTCAGACGATTGCTCTGTAAGATTAGTCGAGGTGCACGTAAGCTGGCTCGGACACTCACGGATATCACAAAAAAAAAATATATATATATATATATATATATATATATATATATATGTTATTCTATAATTCAGATTAAATTATCAGGCTACAATAGTGCTGATGTAAACCCATCTGAACTGTGCTTCAATTTGTATCTAATGTTAACACAGTGATTAAAGCTGATTATAACCAAGGCAATTGTAGTGCAGAGTGAATCTAAATATTTTATTCGAAAGATTTTCTAGATCTTTACGTAGCACCCATGATTTTGCATCTTACTTTTGACGTTGGATTTTGTAGGTTAGGGGATCAATCCCTTTGCTCTGGGAACAAATTGTTGATTTGACATACAAGCCCAAATTTGAATTAGTGAAACTTGAAGAATCTGTGAGTCTCCTTTGTTGCTTGGTGTTATTCACTTTCAGATACGCACTACTATAGTTTCGATTGATTGTTATTGTATTGCTTCCAGCCTCGGATAGCTGAGCGACATTTCCTCGATTTAAGGAAAAAATATGGGGCTGTGTTGGTTGTTGATCTTATCAATGCGGTGATTCACTGGTCTTCTATTATCTTTTTTTTTTTTGTTAGTGTTTGTATCAAGTACATGTATGCATCTACTTGGCAATGAGGTCGTGGTGGTTAATATTTTTATATTGCCTTTGTTCTGGTATCAGCATGGAGGTGAGGGGCGCTTGAATGAAAAATTCGCAGCTGCCATGCAACATGTTACTGGTGATGATGTAAGGTACAATTTTCTTCCTTTTGCTATTTATATTCATTTTGGAATTCATCATTTAAACCCAAATTGAGAGCTAAAAAATATTTTAGATATCTGCATTTTGATTTTCATCACATCTGCGGCCATGTTCATTTTGAGCGCCTCTCGATCCTTTATGAACAAATGTCAGACTTCCTCGATCAAAATGGGTAAGTTCCGTTTATCTCACTCTCTCTCTGTGAGCTGCTGAAAATTAGTCCCCTTCTGATCTCACATGTTTATTTACTTGATTTGGAATTTTAGATACATGTTATTGAATGAAAAGGGTGAGAAAATGAAGGAACAGCTCGGAGTTGTGAGGACCAATTGTATTGATTGCTTGGACCGCACAAATGTTACTCAGGTAGCTTAGCTGACCAAGTAAGAGTTGGTGAATGATGAAATTAGCTATAAACTCAATGCCCCCGAAATTTGTTCCAGAGAACTGAAATTGTATTGAAAGATAAAAGATAAAAGAAGTACAATAATCCAAGTATTAGAAGTACTTCGAATCTCCGAGAGTATTCTCAAGTCTAAACCACCTAAACCATTTACCTTCATCTCCTCCCACTCACTCTATTTATTTATATGACCAATTCCTACTCACGAACACCTTGTCTAATTACTAATATGCTCTTAATATCCTAATAATATTTCTAACTGTCCCAATTGTACTCCAAACACCTTGTCAGTAAAAGCAGCTTTGGTTTTCTATGATTTCCCTGTTTAAGCTTCGGCTGGCAGGGAAAATTTAAAAAGTTATGGATGGACAATGTGTAATCATTTTCATCTCTGTAGGCATTAAATTTACGTTGAATATAATGAACCTTTAAAAGATTTTAATTTTGCAACTGTTTTGTTAGTGATTTTTACGTTATAATATGGTTGCAGAGTATGATAGCCCGAAAGATGTTGGAATCCCAACTTAGGAGGCTTGGAATTTTTGGTGCTGAAGAAACTATTAGCTCACATCCGAACCTAGATGAAAGCTTTAAAATCAGTGAGCTCATTCAGTGTCCCAATTTGATTTATTTGCTCACTGAAACCTAAGATGTTGATTTCATTTTTCATTGAAAGTTTTAGGCTTGTCCATGGATGGAATACATTTTTACCTTGCTGTTTCTTTATTCAGTTTGGGCTAATCATGGAGATGATATAAGCACACAATATTCTGGCACTCCTGCTTTGAAAGGAGATTTTGTTAGGTAAACTCCTACCTTATTTTCTTTCCTATTTTCAAGCATATTCATTTCCATCAACTGCACTGTGTTTAATGTAACTTTGTCTCTTATCATGTTAATATTTGGTATGTGATTTTTTTTTTCATTATATTTATTTTAAATCGTTCTATGTGATTTGGTTGAAGATTTGGCCAAAGGACAATTCAGGGTATCTTGAAGGATGGTTATAATGCTCTTCTACGCTATTATTTGAATAACTTTGTTGATGGAACAAAACAGGTAGGGATTCATTTTCATCTTTACTTTGAATTATGAACACTAACGCAGTTATTTGATGATGTCCATTTCATTATAATTTGATTGGTTTCTCTTCTTTCCTACAAGTGACCCCCTTAGATACTACTATTCAAGTCTGCATTGTGTCAAATTTGTAACTGTTACATTTACCTATTTGTTTTTCTAAATGAAGTTGCATATCTTTGATACATACAGAGATCTTAGTTAAATTTAGAACCTTTTGAACTGACTTCGAATGCACTCTGGCTTTTATGAAGGATGCTATTGATCTCTTGCAAGGACATTATATTGTTTCCGTCAGTCGGGATATGACGCCCGCGACCCAAAAGGGAGGCATAGAAGCTATAGCGGTGAGTGAAATTTTAAACGGAAGATAGATTCTGCAGGAGGACTGCTCAGTAAAAGGGTTATCAAGCAACAATGGAGTTGTTTTTAGTTTATAGAATATTGAACTGAACGTCATCATGACTTATATTATAACCTCTCATTTACTTCTCTTGTACAGAACTTCCCACTGGCTTTATCACTGGTGTTGACAGGGTTCTTTTTTGCATTCTTGTCATTGAGGCAAGGTGAGTCTCTCTCTCTCTCTCTTCTTTTATTCTAACCTGTCAAGTAGGTTGAAGAACTTTGAGCTGACCATACCATTTATGACATTTTAATCAGAATCTCGACTCATGCTTCGATTTCATTTTTCTGCAGTTCGCTATGATATTCGGCACTTGTTCTTTTCAATCATGTGGGCAAGTCTGAGCATAGCCATAGCAGGTTTTGTAAAGGCCAACGGTCGGATTTTCTGCAATCGACCTCGTCTGCACAAACCTCGATCGTGATTTTGATTCCAGAGACTGGCAAATTCAGCTAACCATTCATTGAAATTCAATTTTTCTTTCGAAGATTTCCAGTCAGTTCCATTCTTGGTTCCATCTGAAGTGCCAAGTTATTCATTAGGACTCCTATCCAAGATGTTATCACACTTCCCTTTTCTGATCACTACTGTTTTTTAGAATATCAGATGTTTTTGTTATTCCTTGCCTTGTCATATTATATCTGACTCGAACACAATATACATTTTAGAGAGATATTATTGTAGCAATTGTTGAAACGCATTATGGGTTAAAAATACCATTTTTAACGGCAGTTCCATATGAAAACTGCTGATACAGGTCTTGCAAGAACTTCATATCAGGTATGTGATGATGAGATTAAAAGGTAGCTTAACTACTTTGTAAGTTACTTATGTTTGTTCATTATTATTCATATAATGGCTGCAAACTAAACTGATGTGCCCTGACTTTCTAGAGCTCTAGCTTTATGTCTTCTCCTGAAAACATCTTGCCTAAATCTCCTGGTCTCAGTCTCTAGCTCTCTGAATGGTGTCATCTCTATGCTCTCTCTTTCACTCTGCAACATCCTTTGCCTCTTTGTTACTGCCATCAAAGCTTTGTGATCTTCCTCTCTATGCTTTGCTTCTTCCTACAAACACCCTTTTCCATAAACAATGTGCCTTTCTAGGTTGCAGTAAAGTGTTAAGCTACAAAGTAGGAAGAAAAGGTAACCTGAAGATCTCGGATTAGACCATCAATGGACTTGATCTTCCTGTGTGGCCAGCGATGAATCCCGAATTCTCTGCATTTCCTTTTCAGTACTGTCAACCCAACATTCAGGTTTCTTGAAGCTTCTGTAATTGGAAGATCGAAGTATTTAGCCAGATCTGATAAAGTAATTCCAGCAATGTGCTCACTTGTTGCCCTTTTTTTCTTTTCTGCAATTACCAGCAATTCCCCACCTGTTTAGTAACTTTCATAAGAGAGCACACATGATCTCCTGATATGAATTCTATTTGTGCCATAAGAAGTTCAAAATTCTCTCCTGTTTAGAGAGTGTGTGGAACTTAAACCTGGTTCATAGGATTCTTTCATTTGATTCTCAGATCCTTCAGATGCAGCAGCTGAACAAGGAAGGAAGTTAAGGTCCTGCTCAAGTAGAGGCAAATTTCTTGGTTGATGAAATTTGCCATTGTTGAGGCAAGATGGGCATTCTTCATTTGAACTGCTGCTCATCTAGAGACCCTTTTGAGTTCTGTACTGAATCAAGAGAATTAGAAACTAGAGGACAAAGTGACGAACTGAGCTGGTGAAAAAGGAAAAAGCAGGACTCGGGGTATGCAAATGCCAAAGAAAAACTTCCAGGAAGAAACAAAAAGCAACTCACAAACCTTACTGCCGATGATTTTCTGAAAACTTTAGAACCCCTTCTCAAGAACTTCAAGAAGAAAGGAAAAACTCCGCAGCAGCCTCCTCTAGAAACCGATTTGGTGGTATTCTGAATCTTCTTTTGGAATTGGGTTTATGTTGCTCGAAACCCCAATCACAGAGTAAAGAATGAAGCAAAGTGATTCTATTGGACAGTAGGAAAAAAGAGCGTGGACCATGACACTTGAGAGATGAGGTTCAAACTTTTTCTTGTCATGTAGCTTCAAAATCACACGCTAATTGCCCGCTCATCTTTCTGAGCTGTTTTATAGGGTTAATTTATAAATTTACCCTCTATAATTTTAACTATTCACTATTCGATATCCAATCTACAAATTTCAGATTTAGATTCAGCGGTTAGCCGTTACCGGTAATGGAATGTTAACATGATATGTTTTTTCTAAGATTAAATTTTTTAAGGTTGGGAATGATATCATATGGTAGACAACTAAATAAATATTCATGTGTCTTGTGATAGTGCAATCTAAAATTTGTGATTTGTAATATAGTCTTATGAACATAAATTTCATAAAACTATATTTCATTTAGCTTCGAAATGTAACACAGGACTATCGGATGATACATGAACTATAAATAATATAATTTTTGTAAGTGTACTTCAATTTTACACTCATTCTTTTAATTTGATATATATATATATATGTTTTAGCAAATTAAACGATTATAGAAATGTTCCTAACATTCATTGTTTTAACGAAGCGATGATCAACCACATAAATCACTCAACATTTTTTCAGTTAACTTTCTTCTTCCCTCCCCATTTTAGACTATTAACAACGAAAACCTAGCATTCAATCTCAAGGATCTGCATAAAATCCCTATTAACAATTATTAGCTAACAATCCAACATTCTCATACATCATTTACTAATTTATTCAATTGTTATCTAAAGAACATCATAATCTTTAAGATGTTCAGATATCCAAAACATTGAAATTCTAGGGTAGATTTGAACCTCTGACCTAACAACTTCAACTACAGATTGGCAATATTCGAACCTCTTATCTAAAAAGGAAGGAAAAAAAAAACCTTTATGACTTCCATGAAAAGACTTACTACACTAAGAACTTCTTCACTGCCATACACCAGAACCAGCACAGCATTTCATGAGTCCAATCAAAGACCCTAGCTGCACGTACTAGAAGTGGCAGAATAACAACAGAGCACCCAATTCATAACAACTTTTAGATCTGGCTATTACTCATCAGACCGGAGTAGAACAACCACTGCATACCATTATTGTACCGCTCCTTATAGTACCTTAATAATTGAATCTCAGCACTAGACTTCGCCTATGCTCATTTCATATTCAAGCAGACCCCAACAGAAAAAATAGTACCTCAATGAAAAAAAAGTCAGTGTTTTAACCAAGATATGAACTCATAGAACTGACTTCAATCTCAAAATGCAGTACCAATTTACTCCACAGATTTTAGACTAAACTGCAGAGAGCTATACCACAGCGATAAAATATCATCCTACTAATTGGAAAAGTACAAGAACAGCAAAGCCTCGATACAAAAATATAGCAACAGGGAACTTTAGACTCCATGACCAAATTGCCTACTACTCACTGTCTTGACCTTGACTCAGCTCTTCTAGCTTCATTTGGGGTTGAAGGAAACAACTCCACATATCTTGATCCAATCATCATCTTGTCCTTGCTCATTGCTCTCTTTGCCTCCTCTGCTGAAGCAAACTCCACGTATGCCTCACCAGTTGCCTTCCCATCTGGACGACTTGCAATATGTACCCTATCTTCTGTGAGGTCAAACTCTCCAAAAAATTCAGTGATGTTGGATTTCGTTACAGAGAAGGGGAGACCACGCAGCTTCAGTATCTCAGTGTATTCCATCTGGTCCTTGTCACTGAACCTCTTTTGCCGAGGAGGAGGGCTTCCATGGTAGTCATTATCATAGATGCCCTCATAATTTACTTCAGCAGCAACAGCATTATAATAATCCTGCCTTTTGCACCTGAAGACTTCTACGTACCTACGCCCCATATTCTGTCGATCCCGCTGCAGTGCGAACTCAACCTGCATGGACCCAGCAAAGACAACAAAGGCCTCTCCCATGAACCGTCCATTCTTGTTGACCAGCAACACATCCACAATATCCAGTCCAGCAAAGAACTTGAAAATGTCGATGTCGGTGCAGTTAAAGGGAAGTCCTCTAAGGCGAACCACAGGAAAGGCAGGAGTAGGTGGAAAACTCCCATAGCCGTAAGGTTGAAATCCAGCAGTGCTGCTGCTAACTGCGAAGTAGGGATTCGGTTCCATCATTCTTTGTCTTTTTGAGCCGACTTCGTACCCATCCGAAACCCCCCCGCTTCCCAACATTGCCCTTCAATTACCAGACCCAGAAAAAAGAAAAGGAAAATCCCCACTCAAGCAGTTAATAAAACCAAGCCCAACCTACACCTCTAAAACCTATTGGTGTACACGATTTATTGTCAATGAAGTTACATATCATTACCTCTCCTAAAAACAAATCAATTTAACTAAATATGGAATAAATAATTGTTTCTAAAAGTAGCATCAAAATGTCACTTTGAGGCTCAATATGGACATTTACTCATCAAGCAGTAAAAAACAATTTTCCCGTTTTTCAACCAAAGTAAAGACTATGAACGAGAACAAATAGTTAACCAATTAAATCGCTGGCCTGCATAGCTGTACTATGTCGGCAAAAACTTCTAAGTTTACCCGTGGTATTAAAAAAAAAGACAGCTCATAAGAACTGATACAAGACTCAAATTATTGTAATTGGTTGAAACTTAAACAAAATTCTAACATGACTCAGGCATCCTATAACGTGACTTTTCATAATACAAATAATGCAAGAACGGCCTAGAAAAGCCACCGACTGTGATGAATTTATTTTAAAAGTTCAAATCTAAAGAACAGAACCATGTAAAGAACATGCAACACATGGAAGGCTACAGATACTATAACAACAAAACATAAGTTGTTCTTAAAGAGCACGTTCCACTGAACAACCATTTGAAAATATCAGCATACAATAAAAAAAAAAAACACCTAGAACAAGCGGAGGAGAACAGAGGAACTCCTCCTCCAATTCCTCCCCGCCCTCAAACCTCAAACACGCAATTCCAAGGCGAAACCACAAAATTCCCAGATATTCCAATGCAACAAAACACACAACAATCCAACAAAAAAATAACGTCGGCACAAACACATCAGGAGAGCAACAAAAGAAAAAAGCGATTCAGAAATCGTCAACTTACCCTCTGGGTCCGTACATGATTGTTGAGATTGAAGATTCTCCGAAAGCTGCTCTGATAATCCAACGAAAAAGGAGTAAATTGGGGCGATTGTGAAGAAGGAGGAGTGGATTCAAAGGGGAAAAGGCGGAAGAAAGCGGGAAAAAAAGAAACCCTAACCAAGATTACGGAGGCTTCTGAACTGCGTTTGGCTTCGGATTCCACCACCCAAATTGAACACAAAACGATCTCTCTCTAAAAGGAAGCCCAACTAGGGTAAACTTTAAAAACTTTGCGCTGTCGATTGGGAATCAAAATGACCCAAATACCCTTATCGCTCCATATATGGTACACCCTATGATTTCTGGATATTTTGCCCTAAATTGGAATTTACAGCTCGCAAAAATATTTTCCTCGATTCACCTCCATTAATAATCTTAGGATTCACTATAAATATATTTTTGGTCTCTTATAAATTATTTTTTAATTAAGTTGATTATTAGCTAATTAATGAAAAAATGAGTGGTATTTAATCTTATTTAAGTCTTTTTATTATCAACATGCAACGATAATTAATATTTTTTCTTATCGAGAAGTCATGAATTTGAATCTCTCATCTCACTCGTCGTACTGAGAAAATGAAATTTAAATATTATTTATTAACACATTTAGAAATTGTAATTTTATTAAATTTGAACTAGCATATTGAAGATAAATTTGAAACTTTACCAATAATAAAATTGAAACTAACTTAATTTTATTTATAATATATAGTACTTTTTGGCAACAGCAAAAATTATTAATAGTTAAGGGTGAGTCAATAATTTTTACAGATAAAAGATCAAAATTTTATATTTATAATTTTTTCAATTATGAAAGTTTAAAGGTGTAGAGAAAAGTTTCTTAAAATATTAACTTTTATACGTGATTTTTTAATCTAAGAAGAATTAAAGGCCCTCCCTTTTTTGAGCTGCCTCTAGTTGTAGCGTAGAAGGTAAAGTATACGTTGTTTACGAAAATGATTAAATTCAGCAAGGAAGCTCGGACTTTAGATACCAACATATAAAAGATATGCAAAACAAAGTGAGCATTTCGATACTTAAGTTAAGTACACAATTCAATCTATACTCAAGAGATAATATAGTTCCACATACCTTGCTTGAGAGGCGGGGATCTCTACTTATAGAGGTGAGTTCTCAACGACTTTCCAACAGCACTATAACAACTTTTCGACTGCCCGAGAATCGAGGGGCCTTGTTGAAAAACGTGTTTGTTGCCTTTGCGCATGTAGGTGCTTTTTAAGGTCGGCTTATCCTTGATGAAGGTCAGCCAAAGGTGAAATGTAGATCGACTCAACTTTTACTGACAAGCTATCTGATAATCATGGTGATTGAGGATCTCTGATGTTGACACGTGACAGGTGATAATTCGCCCCCATCATATGTTATAAAAGATGGTTAAAAGTAACTTTTAATAACTTCATGTCAATGTTTAAGACACGATCATATTTCTAGGAAACTATTTTTCTTTATTTATGAAGTTGTGGGTTTTAGTTTTGCTTTTGTTTACATATATTAGTATCATCAAAGTAAATTGTCTTTCTTTGGCCAATGCTTTAAAAAATGGATGCCTTTTACTCTAGTTTTGAAAGGTAGGTAAATTAATGGTAAAAAGAGCCAACAAGAATTTTGTGTGACTCAATGGTAATTAACCTCTACTTATTTCTTGGATGTGGAAGGTTTAAATCTCCATACTTCCACTTTATTGTATTAAAAGTAAAAATAAAGCTTAAAAGTAATCCAAGACAATTGGCTTACTCTAGGATTGTTTTTCTAATAAAAAAAAACCCCTTAATTTATCTCCTAATTGCTTCACTTATCACTTATGGTAAAGATTACATTTTTTGTTACCTTGATGAATGACGATTGATTAGTATTAAATTCCGTGACCCTACTAAAATAATAAGCTAATAGCCACATTTTCAAGCGTCATTAAATAATTTTTTTTCTGTTATTCATTTGTGCATATACAATTAATTGAAAACATCAAAAACAAACTAAGCTATGGCCTATGCAATTTATTTAGCATGTCTAATAATCATTTCATTTTCTGTTTTTAATTTTAAAAATTATGTTTATTTAATTGCAATTCCTTTGGTATGTCTTCATCTTTCCTTAAAAATACATTTGAAACAGTAAAAATAATTTTTTAAAAACTACTTTTACCAAAAATTATACGATTGACAGTAGTGTTTACAAGTACCAAGAACTTTTNGATAGTCTTCCAGAATTTTTTATTTTATGGTTTCCGAAATAGTTTATTTTTTTTAACTCGTAGTGGCTGAGAAAAATGGTGGGTTCTTCGAAAGTGTTAATCTCATTGTCATGGTTGAATAAAAATAAAAACATATTTTTTGAAAGAAAAAAGATATTATACTTTTCTGTACTTTTCAATTTCATTCGTATAGAGTTTAACTGGTCAATTCCAAAGTCTCTAGTATTAATGAGTTTTAAAAAATTGGTCATCGAATGCCATGTCAATTCTCACTATGCCACATTGTTCATAATAGTTCATCACTATTTACTAATAACAAAGACCATTGAGATGGATAGATTAAAATATAGGGTCAATTCAAAACTTTGTAATTATAAAAGCATAATATAAAATTAGAATATAGGAATCAATTTGAAACTTTATAATTATAGGAGCACTTCGTAATCAAAATAATGCATAAGTACATCATAAGTTAGCGATATGAATGTCACAACATGAATATCACTCTTATAACCATTACTACACGATTGACAAATATTTCTAAAAATTTTATCTGTAGAAGTGGCAACCGCATTGTACCAGTCGAATCGTATAACTCCTCTATGATATGACACAAAAAAAACGTCACTCGGGTCCTGAGGTCGAGATAAAATTTTGATATTTGAATGCAACTAAAACAATTAGAATGTAACTGAAAGAGAGAGCAGATTTGTTTGAATTGGTATTTCTGCAATCAGTAGAGTAAATCACGGAATTTGCAGTTCCTCAGAGAACATTTGTATTTGTAGAATGAAGGCAATCATATTGATAGCATGTAGAAAATATATATATCAGTAATCTTTTGGGGGCTTTAGAGCACATCCCACCAACAGTTTCTATATCCGTAGTCAATATTTCACTCACTTATGTCAATGTCTTGGAAAAATAATACTAATTTTTACATGCTATATTAGTTGATAAAAAATCAAATCATTTGAAAAAAACAACAAAAAAATGGACCTGTAACAGGGAGGAAAATTACGGTCGACGGTCAGAGGAAAGAACCTGAAAACAGTGTTGCTCTGCAGTCGAACAGCTGAGTTCGACTGTCCAAGTCTTCACTTGCCCACTCTAATCTGGAGGTTGCTCATTCCGACATTCACCTTTTCAACCTCTGATTTATTCTTCACTTCGCTTTGAGCTAAGTTCCTAGGATTCAGCCAAGGATGCTGCAGGCATTGCTGAGCAGTTGGTCGCTTCTCTGGTGCGAAATCGAGAATGGAACTGAGAAACTCAGCAAAAGAACGAGCATCAGCATCTGAAAATTTGTATTTCTCGACCAGCAGTCGATCAAGAGACCAGAATTTCAGCCTCCGAATCCTCTTTAGGTCCCCGTGCCTGTCAAAGTAGTCTTTCGACCGAGCTCCTCCTATTGCAGTCTGAGCGCCAAACATATTAGAAATGGAAATCAAGACGTAGTAGGAAACAACTATAAGGAGCAGTTTGATGTGCTTACTTTTCTAGGCATCTTCCCAAGGAGCTCCATCATCAATGCAAGATGATCCTGAAACCAGCACATTGAAGAAGCTGAATATGTGACCAAGGCACAAACTTTATAAAGGGATGAAAATATCAGACTTGTACCTTTCAAATTTTCCCTATTTGCATATAGTGATCAACTAAATGAAGCTCAAAATGATGGTGAAGATAAAGCATATCAAACAAAAGGACTGCTCCCTAACTTTCCACCCCTCATTTCCTCGTCATCGGGATTAATAGAAGCAGGCATCGCCGTGTGTGCATACAAACACAGGAACATGATTTTTTTCCCACAAGTTATGGAATTGCTTCAATCCTAATCGAGAAGTCCAATCTAGAGGACATACATGTGACCTATACATATTGACCGTACGGTCTCACTACTTTATAAAATAAAAATACAACGTATCGTGGTATAATAAAAATAGGATGGCATGCTGTTATATATGTTCTTCCTTCACTTCCTTAATGGTGAAGAAGAAACAACCAAGTATTTGGGATCAGCTAATAATGATAAGTTCCAAGAATCCCATATTGCAAAAGAATTGATTTTAGTAATCATCCTTACCTCATCCTCACTATAGTCTTGTCCTCCTTTTGGGGTAAACATCATGTCACCTGTGGCGAGTTCAAAAGCGATGCAGCCAAATGACCACATGTCAACCGAGTAGGAATATCCGGACTGCAGTATGACTTCAGGAGCTCTGTACTGTCTCGTTTGAATTTCTTCCATAAACTGCTTATCTGCCCAACAAGCGTTACCAAAATCTACAATCTTGCACCTCAGATCAATACCATCTAGTTTTCTCTCAGTCTTTGGAGTTATTCCTCCCCCCATAGAAACTCTTCTTTCAGAGATCCTAGAAACGGCTCTCCTTGCTCTTCTTTTCAATTTCTTCTCAATGAGATTCATGGTTGCTCCACCATTCGGGTTCCCCTCGGGCCTCTCAAGAATGGGGGCCTGTCCAGATCTCACAGGATCTTTGGTGGGATCAATGGTGGAAAATAGAAGAATATTTTCAGGTTTTAGATCAGTGTGGATAATACCAAGTTCTCTGTGCAAATAGTCCAGACCTACCAAAACACATTTGCAGATCTCCCTGACTTTATTCAGCTCAAGAACTTTATATCGGTTATACTTGATCAACCGAAGTAAGCTATCACCAAGAAATTCTAGAACCATGCACAGATGTTGCCCATTTGGCCCTGCATGCTTAAAATGATCAATAAGTTGCACAATGTACTTGGAGCTTGAGGGATCACTATCTGAAATTGCTGAAAGAACTTCAATTTCATGAATTGCAGCTTCAGCAAATTGGGGAGCACTTTTCTGGATCTTAAGTGATACATATTTCTAAGATAAAGAAAAGAAAAAATCAGAAAACCAGAGAATATACTGCCAACTTGCATCTTTAGAAATATAAACTAGAAACAACATTATAACCTACCAAAGATTAAAATTCACAATAATATAAATTAAAACCCACAATAATATAAATTAAAACCCACAATAATACTTTTCCTGGATCTAAATACCTACTTCACTTCATTTAACATTCAAGTCAACTCTTATGGCTAGTTTTGCAATCATTTTCTCTTTAATACATCATTTATTTTCTTCAAAAAGAAGGGCATTCTGAAATAACAGATAATTGAGACCATCCTCAAGCACTTTTACAAGTAGGACCATTTACAAGTTGACGGAAAAAATGGGTGGTCAAGCCCATGTTCACCCATGTCCTTCGTATTTAAAATGCTAGCCTAGCCTTCAAACATTGAACCAAAAAGGAATCTTTTAATCCCTCACCACTAAGCTACTTTCCTGTTCTCCCATGCCTTCTCAGATTACATAGTACAATTTGAATCGATTGACATTTTCGAAAACTTAGTGAAGAACATTAACTAAGATCAAAAACGAATTTCTATAAATGGAAAATAGGGAAATTTATGGTAATAGAAACAGTCCAAAGAGAACCCCACATCAAACCCTCTGAACGTTTCGAGTGGGAGTCGGAGGAGAAAACAAAAACATCGAATTAATGATAAAAGGGTAAAAGAAAAAAACAGAAATAAATGTGGAACCATATCATAAAGATCCAATAAACCAAGCAAATAAAACATATCCTGTAACGACAAACGGAAATTGACATCGCCGTCCGGATCCAAAGAAACGAACAACTCGCAAAATCACGCAGCAAGGCACAAAGATTCAAGCGAAATAAGGGCATAGAACAAAGATTCATAAAACAAGACGAAATAAGGGGAGAACATACAGAGGTGCGGGTGTCATAAGCGAGCCAGACGGTGGAGAACTGACCCCACCCGAGCTTCCTCTGAGCGACATAGCGGCCGGCGGCGAAATGATCGCCGATCCTGACGGCATGATACCCTCCCTTCCTGTAGGAATCGACTCCCTCATCGTCCTCGGAGCCGGATGAAGAGGAACAGGACATGGTGGGACGATGAGATCCGATCCGATCGGGTCCGAAAAGGGTTGATGGGTGTGATTAAGAAGGAATCTCCGGGTTTCCTCAAATGGGTCGGGATCGGAAGAGGAGAGAAAGCGAAGGGGGAAGAGTTTCCTTGTAAATGAAATTACAAGCTTGGAAGGTTAATCGGAGACGAATTACAGATTGATTATATACACCAAAAAGACAGTGAAGTTGAAAAGAATTTGAAGGGAGAGAGAGAGAAAAAGAGTTCGTGGATGATTGAATGGTGGGGTTTGAGGTTGCTATGGCCTTCCCCACAAGTCTCTCCCCACTTTTTACTCTTCTTTTTTTTCCTTGTTTTTCTTTTGGTTCAGAGCTTCCTCTTCCTCCTCCTGCGGCAGCTGGTGGCGGGTGGCTCTCCTTCCTTTTGCCTTACACTCCTCTCTTTTCTTTACCCTTTTAATATTATCTATAACTACCATTATTGCTTTTGATTCATATTCTCTCTCTTTCTCATCGACGTCCTAAACTTGTATTATTATATTTTTTTTAGTTCTAACTACACGTCGGGATTAGAATTCAAAACTCTAATATTTTCGTCGGTTGATAATATATGTTTTAACCTTTACTAATTGAACTATCTTCAGATTCTCGACTTGAATATTTATTATTAACTCTAATTAGGTGTGAGAGATGCTGATTGACAAACAATACACAACTACTTTTTGTTTCTCATACTTGAGCCATAATCAAAACTTTTTGTTTCTCATACTTGAGCCATAATCAAAATCTCATGGGTTACAATCGGAGGATTTCCAAATTAATCAAATCTCATTTAATATAAATATATGGTTCGAAACAGTTTTTTAGTTTTTTTTTTCTTTTAAGTTTGTGCGTACGATCAACCATCAAACTTAAAAGAGTAATATATGTCTTATACACTAAATTTTACTTGTCGGGGAGATTGAACTCCCAAACTCCAAGGAAGTAACTCAGATGTCTTATTTGTTGAGCTTGACTTTTAATTTGTTGTAGGTTTGTTTTACAACACTTTTGGCTTTATATCTTTTTAAAATGATGTGGTCTCTATGTTTCAAAATAATGTAATGTTGAGTTGAAACCATGGTGTTAAAAATTTTATTGTATATATTTTTGTTTTTGAGGAAAGTAAATAATATCAATAAATAGTTGAACAAATTTTTATTTTGGATTTTAGGAGGCTCATCGAATTAAATTGTCACAAACAAAAGCAGAAAAACCAAAATGTTACGAGAGTTAAAAAAAACATACATTAATAATATAGTCTAACCTATAAATATCCTTAATAAAATTAAACAATTAATTTGTTTAGATGAGAACAAAACAAAAAGGGTAAAAGATTTGATATGATGTAATAAGTGAATAAGATCAGAGCAATCTTGATTTTGATTGTAGAAAGCAAAAGGTGTATAATTGCATCCAAATGCCAAACATTTTTCCAAAAAGTTATTCACATATTTACTACATTTAGCTGATTGGCTCCTATTTTGATCATGTAAACACAAGTTTATGAGAATGTGTTGCAATTACAAAGGAAGGGTTGAAATAATTGAAAATTATGGCTTGCATTTCAATTATGTACTAGGAAACCATGTGCACTAAAATTTTGTAATGAGGAAAGAGTTTGAATTATGAAGGGCCCAAATGATTTATAAATCTACTAACTTTATGGTCAATGTTGTTTTTTTACAATTTCGTAGGGATTAAAATATTTTCCTATTTGTATCATGGTAGTTCTTTATCCACTTTTTCTTCATCTTCTCTCTTTTGGTACCTTTCTACAAATGTCATATAAACAAAAACAAAGTGATTCTTTCCTTAGCAATAATTTGGATAGATGTATCTTAAAGATTTAAATCCTTCCTTATACTTTTGGCTTTAGTTCATTTTCATTTCTATACTTTTAAGGCGTCTATTGTAGTCCATATACTTAAAAAAAAAATCCATTTTAATCCGTATTTATAAAATTTAAACATAAATCTTATACACAATAACATAAATAGTCGTTTTGAAAATATATTGATTAAAATAAACTAAAGCTAGAAGTACAAAAATAGTATTTCAACCTTTGCAAGATAAGCTCCTAAAGAATTTTTTGTTCCAAGAATACTGAGCTAAGTCGTTTCTCTCTCATACTTATTCATTAACCAATGACAAAATTCCAACATAGATAAAAATTTCAAATCAATAATGAATTTTCCATCACTCATTTTCATTTTTCTATTTCTAACAGAGAAACATAAAACCATAACCAATGAAACACAAGATTTGAGAGTATAAAAGAGAAGACAAATGAAACAAGTTAAATTCCCTAATATTTTCAAAGGCTGAATCCAATCCAACTAAAGTGGTGACTTGACCAGGATGCCTTAAACAGTGGAAGTGGAGCTAATCCATCCCATAATGAAGACTTATTATGAATCCTATTTTGGTTTTTCTTGTGCCTAATTTTTCATAAATCTGATCATATCATATCATCAGAGGTTGCTGGTGCCAATTAGAGAAAGGTGATAACCGACAATCTTGAAGCAATAATACAATCAATCAAACACATTTCAACCAATCACATCAGAGGGAAGATAAGGATTGAACTTGCTGCAAGAATCAAACAGGAAACTGCACATTAAAATTCTTTAATTACTCCACAAGATAAGCAGTGAAGAAACTATGATGCCAACCTAGCTTATCATTCTTCATTCATAAGATTGAGAAACTAATTTACAGTTCAAAATTTTCTCAGATCTTCCTTGGCCTGGGTGTGAAGATTACATTAGCATAAACCAAAAGAAAAAAAAACTCAAGTTCCCTACTCAAAATTCTCTCTACCAAACTTCCTAACCTTTGATGATCCTTGGTGTCTCATGATAAATGAGGGCCAAATCAAAAGGTCATAATTGTTACCACCTGACCAAACAAAGAATTCAATAACAATTTCATGGTGTAGGCCAAGCTATGATCCACAGCCATAGCACCAAAAATGACAGATGCAAGTGCCTTAGGAGTGAGGGTAGAAAAACAATGCACTGTAGAGTTGTTGTCCTAAGAGACAGTCTTAAGTCATAGCTTTACACCATTTTCTGCATATATTCATGTCTCAATTCTTCTGTCTACAACCCTAATCTCCAATATTTCAACCAACAGGCGTATAACCCACAACAATCCACTTTGCTTATGCCAAGTAAAGGAAGCGTAATGGACGGCCAACTAATCAACAGGAAATGGGCAGGTGAATAATGAACCAGAACTACTAATTGACATGACAACAAAGCAAAATTTCACAGAAGTTCATCAAAATTCAGGATTTCAGACCAGAAATATCAAATTGGGATGGGGCTAACAATCAGCTAATGCAAGCAAAGGCAATATTTTCATTGATAAAAATGCAACTAGTTTGCAGTCTTACAAAATTGGCTATAGCCCAATAGCAGAATTGTATATCTCGTGATTTGTAATTAACTTGCTTTCAAACAAGATGGCAACTCTTAGCTATTAGCTCAGCCTCCCTTCCCTTTCCTGAATAGCTCAAATCAATACGGCCCAGAAATTAATAAGTAACTCGTTGGAATTGATTCGACTTCTATTGTATTAGAAGAAACTAAACATGCCAGCAGAGAGGACTGCCGACTTAGCATACAGGATAATATTAATTCACACCATACCGATCGTAAGAGGAATGAGGTCATTAAAAAACCTTTCAATTTGAATCGAGATACTGAAGAACAAGGGCAGAAAAACCCTAGAACTTTAGGGATTGCATTAATCCAATTCCTTAACAACCTTAATTCCCATGCTATTCGCAGTGCCGATAATGGACTTACAAATGGACTCCAACGGCATGTACTGGCAATAAGGATCGGACTGCTTGACTTTAGCGATCTCGTAAATGTGCTTGAGGGAGAGCGTGGAGGCGACCACGTGGCCTGGGCGGCTGCTCCCGGAGTCGATCCCGGCGGCTTTCTTCAGGTACCAAGTGACCGACGGCGACTTGACGGTGAACTCGAAGGTGTTGTCCTTGAAAGCCGTAATGGTGACGGCCATGGGTGTGTCGGGCTTGTACTTCTGGGTCCTGGCATTGAAATCTTTGCAGAACGCCATAAGATTCAGCCGATACTGACCGAGCGCCGGACCCACCGGCGGCGCTGGGCGGGCTCCGCCGGCAGGCACAGTGAGCCTGATGGTGGCAGAGACAGGTCGCCTGGTTAGGATCTCTTTCAAGGTGGCCATCGCTGTTCTGTTCGCCGGAACCTTTTTTCTCCGATTCAGGAAATGGGCAAAAGGAGGGTTTGCGTTTACTGAAAACGAAGCATCGATGGAGTGAATGGGCCGAAATTGTAGGCCGAGGGCCCACCAACCTTACCTTTTTATTTTGAGTAAGAATAAGTATACCCGTTATTATTATTTCTCTCTCCCTCCAAAATTATTTCATGTATTTTTTTTTCATACAGATAATTTGACCGGAGGAATATGATAATTTATTTGATAAACAAATATTACTTATTCAGCAAATTTGATTGATTGATACGAGTTGATTTTCTCTTACGATGAATTGAAACAATGTTCTTTGAATCGTTGAAGAATGAATAACTTTAAAATGGCATTTATTTTAATTTTATTCTAACTTATTAAAATTTGGGTTTATTCTCATGAAATCTTGAATAAAATGAAAAAATGATAGCACGAACTCTCATTTATCTCTCTAAAAATCTAATATTATTTTAAACATTCTCTTCCTAAAAATTTTTTTTTTAATTTTTCTCTTCTCTTTCTAATCTACTTTTCATATAGAAATTATATCTTATTTTTTCATTCAATTCTCTTTCGTTATAACTTTTAATTTATTTATTTTCTCTAAAAAAATATATTTCAAATATGGTTTAATTTTATCTTTACAATTTTTTTCTCATTAAAATTTTTCTTTTTCTTAACGTATCTTTTCCTCTCAACTTTATTTTTTTGTTTTTCTCTTTTTCCCTTTTAACTTTTCTTTCACTAATTATCTTTTTTTAAATATGTCTTTTTTTCTCTCTAACATTTTCTTTTAAAAGTTTATTTTCATTTCTCTAAACTTGTATTTTTGTGTATCAACATTAGGGATGACAAAAATTTTCGTAGGACGGGTCCCCACTCCAAGAATATGCATGTCCCAACCCCGTCTTTGATTTCAAATTTTAAATAATTAATATATATTTTATTAACACATTTACTAAATTATGAATAAAATATTAAATATATTTTAAAACTAATTATTTATAATAGTAAATAATAATTCTAAAAATAATTAATATATATTTATTACCCTTTGTTATTTTTTAAATTATGACAATAATTAAAATTAATTACAACAGTAATTTTTTCCATATATCCCCGTCCCCAAATAAGATTCTTTAACCTGCATGTCGATTCCCAAATCGAAGAATGATGTGAAGATTGTGGACTAAAAATTTTCACGAGCACGAGAATGGAAGAGTGCATCTTCACTTCCGTCCCAAACCATCGTCATTTTTACTCTACGTAGAATTTTATCTCTAATATATATATATTTTTAATTTTATTACTTATTAAAAACATAAAACTAAAAATGGTTGCCAAACATGTTTAGTTTTCTGTTTTTTATAAATAAAAAACAAAAATAGTTATCAAACCTGCGTGGTTTTTATTATTTTAAAAATAGAAAAAAAAAACCAAAAATAAAAAAACAAAAATGGTTATCAAATAAACTCTTAAAAATTTGTTAACCTAAGCTTAACTCAACTGGTATACTTATATCTCTTATTAAAATATCGTGAATTCGAAGCTCACTCTCACATATTATTGTATTAAAAAAAAACTCGGTTTTTTCCAAATTAAAAAGAAAAAAAAGGTTTTAATCCAATGAGTCAGCCCATAGATTGATCCATGAGTCTTCCAATTTGTATTTGGGCGGGTCCAAACTAGGCCCAAACAGTTGCTTGGGGGCACTAAACATTGACCTGCACCTAATTGGTCGGTCCGGCTCAGCCCATCCTCTCGATGCTTCTTTATTAGCATTCAGTTAGGTTATTTAAAGTATTTAATAACCCAGAGACATCGTCCACCTTGAACAATATTGTCAATTAAATCGTTAGAGAGAGGGAAGCTTGGAAGCATGGGAGATCACTTGAGACTAAAATTTAAATGGTTGAGATATAAAATCAAATCAATTAAATCCCTTAAATAAGAGAAGATGAGAGGTTGGTTCACATGTAACGCATAAAATTGGAAAGCTATCAAAATTTAAATCGCGTTTAACTATGGTGCAAAATGTCATACTATTGGCCATTTTTTAAAATATGTGTCCAATTTTAGCTACCCACCTAATTAAATTACCCTTTTAGTTTGTTACGGAGAACGAGTATAGGGCTACTTAACAGAAACACCAGACAATAAATCAACTAAACACCAACCTCAACAAACTATTTTAATGTGCAGTTCAACAAAGTGTGCAGGCAATTTGATCATTCTTTAATCAATATAAATGAATGAAAACGAATGGCTATTACTCAGAGCTGGAAAGGAAAGAACCAAATCCTTCTGCCAACGCAATACACACCTCTCGTATTATAGTTCCCACAACATGCTTTACTTCCGTTTATCAAATCTTTTACTTCCATATTTCATAAATTAATATAATTAAATGACCATCTTGATTGTTGCAGGGAAAGCTACCATAATAATGCTATCATTGTATCGTCTAACGGGACAGTATACATGGTAAACATTCGTTCGAAGGAGATAATCTGGTCTTTTTTTACATGGACACCCCTATTCACATCATACAAGGCTCCTAACTTTGATTTTTTTTTTTTTTTTTGCATGGCAGAAACTAAAAACATCATATGATGACGTAAAAACGATGTACTCCAACCGTACATACGATCATATGAATTTTGTTTTAGAAAGAACAACCTATGGTCTTAATCGAACAACAGGGGCCATTGTTTCATCGCGGACAGTAGCTATTAATCTGGGTTCTAAGTCACCAAGTGATGATCACCACACTTTAAGGGCAAAAAGTGCAGAACTTAGAGTTCATAGAATAGATTACCTTGCAACAGGATATATGTCCAAAGAGAGTAGAATTTGGACTTCGTCACTCTCTGACTTTCAAGTTTCCCATCGATGTTCAGGTGATGAGAGTGGAGAAAAAGAGATTAGTTGGGGTCTACAGATGAATCATAATCATTTTGATTTAACAAAATGAAGTGCCAGAGAGTAAGGTTTAGCAATGTTGCCTATTGGGTGTAATCTGGAACCACATAACAAAATGAAGAACATAGCATAGGTAGAAGTAGTTTCTGTAAGTCCCGAGTTTGAAGGTACGTTTTTATTTGGTCTTATATATTTTAAAAAGTGACAATTTAGTCCATGATCTTTTAGAAATAGTTATAAAAAATCTCTAGAGTTAAATCTTATGAAGTTAAATCGTGGTCGAAGATGTACACCCTATACGGTGATGTAACGGTTGTCTTGCTATCTTTGATATGAACTCAAGGAAATTGAATTCTAATGTTTTTTATGTACATCGTGTGTCTTTCCATGCAACACAGTATGATCCTACCACAACAGGCTATTAGATAAGATGCTACTATTGTACTAAATTGATAATAAAGAGGCTGGATGGATTAACAAACGCTGTTTTTCAAGAGGCTACAAACTATGCTACTCTCATGTCAATCAAAATGGCAACTTCTAAAAGTTCATAATAAGATTTAACACCTCCTGTGATTTCTTGTTTCCTATCAATAGTACCAATACAAAACACATGTATTTTAGGTCAAAGATGAACCTGATAAATAATATCAATAGCATCACCTGGGTTAAAAGTATAAACTTTTCCATTTATTTAGAAAGAAAAGAACCTATTTTTGTCGAAGAATGTCTGCTTCAAAGTAGAACGAATAAAATTTTAAAAATATCATGTTTATGTACGCGCTTCAATCTGAATTCCGTACCTAAACAGGATTCTCCTGAGGAAAAGGACGGGAGGAATTCAACTTACACTGTTTCAATTCGAATTAAAAAAATTTTGGGGTTTTGTTTTGTTAGTAAAAAGGAAGGAAAAATGCAGAAAGCACAGTTGAAATTTCCCCCAAATAATTCACCTGTAGCACAAAAAGAACCCACTACGATGCCATGAAATTTGATACAAAAGGGTCTTACAATGGCTACTGTTATAGCTTATCGATCGTAATGGAGGGTGCGAGTGGGAGTGAGCGCACTACTTGAAAAAGGAAGCGTGTGGCTTGTGAGAGCTATATTTTGGGCCCCAAAAATCAGCGATGATTGAATACCCAGCAGGACCACTGAGTCGACGACTTGAACTCTCTTTCAAACATTCCGATTCGCTGTGCTCTCGCTCAACATGGCTTCAGCTAAGGGCTAATGGCGCTTGTTCTTTTCAACCCATCAAATGCTTTTTCTGATTTTCCCTTTTAGTTTGTCCATTAATGGCTCTGTACCTGTAATGAGACCGTCCTGGTGGATGGAGGGGCCCTCTCATTTTTCTCCCATGAGCTTAAAATTTTCACTCCTGGTTAGTTCTTGTGGAGGAGGGTTCTGTGAATGTCTTGACTCTGTCTTCTGTTGATCAAAATATCTCCTCTAGGACGAGGTTGTTGAATCTTCAACTTTATATAGCTGAGTATTGGATTTGTGGATTCAAGTTTAGCTGGTTTGCCACCTTATCTGGAGTGTATGGAACTTGAGTATCTCATCTGGGAATGCCCTTTGAATGTTTTGCCTCTTTGTTCTCCGAATTTTCTTCCTTCTTTTCCCCCTCTAATTGATGGTTTATTGTAAATAGATGTTTTTTTTTTTGGTCTGATACTGCTTTTTGTTCTTTGATTTAGGTTCCCTTTTCGCGTCGTGTAGAATAACATCTATCGAGGCCTTTTATCCTTCCTTTTAACTTTCTAAAAGTTTCCACTTATCACCTTTTGATCCTCTCATCTCTGTTAATTCGTGTAATTTTGATTAAGATGACATTTTGCCGCAAGTACAGTCCCTAACTGTTTTATGATCATGATTATCTTCTTTTCCAGTCTTGGGTCCATTTGTGCAAATTTAATGAGCAGAGAAAACTGTTATTTGTAGTTACTGTTTCATTTTTAATGCAATTGGATCGTTTATGCATGCAATTCTGTACTTTATTTTCACATTTTCAGGCGTCTTTACTCAATTTCGAAGTACTTAGATCTTTGAGTGTGCAGCTTTTTTCTCACTGTTTCTTTTTTCTTTTCCTCGTATCTTTGACAGATTGGATTGTATTTGAGGAATTGTGATTATCCTGTTGACAATGAGAATTATTTGCATTCTACTGTTGATGTCTCTCTTCAATGGGAGTTCCTCAATTGGAGATAGCACAAACGTATCCACAAGACCCGATGTTGTCAACATTGGGGCTTTATTCTCTTTCAGTTCTATGATAGGCAGAGTTGCCAAAATTGCTGTAGAAGCTGCCATCGAGGATGTAAATTCTGATCCAGCCGTTCTTGGGGGGACGAAGCTGAAGCTCACATTTCATGATACCAATTACAGTGGATTTTTGGGCATCATTGAGTGTATGTCTATCATCACTCGTCAAACTTTTTGTGCATAAGCTCATAACTGATATGTTTTCCTCTTGATTGTTTTGTCTTAAATGAAACTGGGTTATGATTCTTCTTTTTTTTACAGCCTTGCGTTTCATGGAGACTGAGACTATGGCCATAATTGGCCCCCAAAACTCTGTAACTGCTCATGTAATATCTCATATTGCAAATGAGCTCCAAGTCCCTCTATTGTCATTTTCAGCAACAGATCCCACACTGTCATCCCTTCAGTTTCCTTTTTTTATCAGAAGTTCACAGAATGATCTGTATCAGATGGCTGCAATAGCTGAAATAGTCGACTACTATCATTGGAATGAGGTGATTGCCATCTTTGTTGATGATGACCATGGTAGAAATGGTATTGCTGCCTTAGGTGATGAGCTTAATGAGAAACGCTGTAAGATCTCGTTGAAAGTACCATTGAAGTCTAATGCAAGTCGAGACGAGGTCACTGATGCACTTGTTAAGGTGGCTTTAACTGAATCTCGGATACTTGTCGTTCACACTTATGAGACCACAGGTATGGTAGTGCTCAGCGTCGCTCAATATCTTGGATTGACAGGACCTGGGTATGTGTGGATAGCCACAAACTGGATTTCTTTACTACTCGACACAAATTCTCCTCTTTCGTCTGCTTCTATGGAAAATATTCAAGGAGTAATTGCTTTGCGTCTTTATACGCCAGATTCTGCACTCAAAAGGAATTTCGTTTCTAGGTGGACCAACTTGACTATTGGAAAGACATCGAGTGGCCCACTCGGATTGAGTACGTACGGATTATATGCTTATGATACTGTTTGGATGCTTGCTCATGCTATAAATGCATTTCTTAATGAAGGGGGTAATCTTTCATTTTCAAATCTTTCCAAGTTAAATGGGATTGGTGCTGGAGCTTTGGATTTTAACTCTATGAGCATCTTCAATGGTGGGAAGACATTGCTGCAGAAAATTTTAGATGTTAAATTTACTGGAATAACAGGCCCAGTTGAGTTCACTCTAGATAGGAACTTAATTCGCCCAGCGTTTGAAGTAATCAATATAATCGGCACAGGGGAAAGGAGAATTGGTTATTGGTCCAACTATTCTGGTTTGTCTATTGTGCCTCCTGAAACTCTTTACTCGAAACCGCCTAATCGTTCCAGTTTAAATCAAAAGCTGTATGATGTCGTATGGCCGGGACAAGCAACACAGAAGCCTCGTGGATGGGCATTTCCAAGCAGTGGAAGACACCTGAGAATCGGAGTCCCAAGACGAGTCAGTTATCTGGAATTTGTCTCACAAGTGGAAGGAACTGATATGTTCAGTGGCTACTGTGTTGATGTCTTCACTGCAGCAATCAACTTGTTGCCTTATGCGGTCCCATATAAGTTAATTCCTTTTGGAGATGGCAGTGTTAATCCAAGTGGAACCGAGCTTATTCGTCTAATGACAACCGGGGTAAGCATTATGTCGAAAGGTTATTTATCATACTAAATATAAAAACTTAGAACTGACTTGTTCAGTATAGGTCTTTGATGCAGCAATAGGTGACATTGCAATAATCACAAACCGAACCAGGATGGCAGATTTTACACAGCCATACATCGAGTCTGGCCTAGTAGTTGTAGCCCCGGTCAGGAAGTCGAATTCTAGTGCTTGGGCCTTTCTACGGCCATTCACTCCGACAATGTGGTGTGTTACTGCTATTTCATTTCTTATAGTAGGAGCAGTTGTTTGGATTTTGGAGCATAGGATGAATGACGATTTTCGAGGCCCTCCGAAGAGACAAGTTATCACTATGCTATGGTAGGTACAGAGACATCAATTCATGTGAAAAAAAACTGTGATGCCTTCATTTTTAGTTCAAGACCCTGCCCTCTTTTAGGATTTAACTTCTCAAAACTTTTAAACATACGGGCTCTCTTTCTTTCTCCTCCCCTTTTTTGGGTTGTCCTGAAGTTTAAAAAGTAATATACTAGTCCCTCTAATTTTATCAAGTTCCAAATTCAGTCCTTAAGAGTTAGAAATTCATTGAACGATATGTTTTCTGAGTCTCTTGAAGCATCAGTAGTCATTAAGTATTGGATTTATTTGCTTGTATTTTCCTTTTTTTCGTCTATAAATTGCAAATTCATGGTCAGATATGCTTCTTTTTGTTTTTTACAATGCAGGTTCAGCTTTTCAACTCTATTCTTTTCTCATCGTAAGTAAACTAACTTGATTTCCTAGTCTAGATGGAAATAGATTTGATGGAAGCGCATTAAATATTTCATGTTTTTTGTATAGGGGAAAACACAGTCAGTACCCTTGGTCGCCTCGTGCTGATCATATGGTTATTTGTTGTTCTTATTATCAACTCGAGCTACACCGCAAGCTTGACCTCTATCCTTACAGTGCAACAACTTTCTTCTCCTGTTAAAGGGATCGAAACTTTGGTTGCAAACAATGATCCAATTGGCTACCAGCAAGGTTCATTCGCTCGAAACTACTTGATTGAGGAACTCGGCATTGATGAGTCCAGACTTATTCCACTCATCTCAGTAGAACACTATGTAAAAGCCTTGAATGATGGCCCCAAGAAGAATGGGGTTGCTGCTATCATCGACGAGCGAGCATATGTAGAGCTCTTCCTTTCAACCCATTGCGAATACAGTATCGTTGGTCAAGAGTTCACCAAAAATGGGTGGGGATTTGTAAGTACTTCCATCATCAACGAAAACATTGGCATTGGTCTGCTTTGTTTGTTCAAATGTTGTGTCATCTGATGATCGTGTGTCGTTGTCCAGGCTTTCCCACGCGACTCCCCTTTAGCAGTCGACATGTCCACAGCTATTCTAAGACTGTCCGAAAATGGGGATCTTCAAAGGATCCATGATAAATGGTTAATGAAAAGTGCCTGCACATCACAAGCCTCCAAATTTGAGGTCGATCGGCTTCAACTCAATAGCTTTTGGGGACTGTTTCTAATATGTGGAGTAGCCTGCCTTCTTGCTCTGTTGATTTACCTCTTCCTAATGGTGCGCCAATATAGCAAGCATTACTCGGAAGAACTCGGGTCCACTGGCCAAGCCACTCGCTCTGCAAGCCTGCAAAGATTTCTTTCTTTTGTCGATGAAAAGGAAGACGTCATCAGAAGTCGATCTAAGAGAAAACAGATGCAGGACGCCTCAATTAGGAGCATGGATGGAGAAAATTCAACTAGCAAGTCCAGAAAACTTGGCCATGGTGATGCTGATATTGATGCATGATCTAATACTATGTTGCTCTATTTGCAATATTTACAAAATATCAGAACTGTTGCTGTGAGTTGGAAATGGCATCTTGGTTGAATGTTGCAGGGTCTTACCTGTTTTCTTTAGTAGCATATCAATATCATCCAATTACTTGTAAATGTCAATAAATAAATTAGCTAATAAAGCTATATTAGTGTACAAATTAAATATGTTTGGTACATTGTGAGACTTTACAATATTTCAAGTTTGTGGTAGCATAGCAATATTTACATTTGTATACTTAAACATCGGTGTTCTAAACATGCCAACATAATAGTTGTAGCATTGTTTATCCTGACACCTTACAATTATGAAACTACATTTTATTCTACATTTCTGTGTCTAAGAATTTACTCTATATGGCTTTTGAAGTACTTTTGGAAGCATTCCTCTTGCCTACAATATTGACTTATAATTTTGTAAACTTCGATCAAGAGTCTCGGGAACCTACTGGCGAAGTAGCCATCGAATCCCTCGGGAACGGATCCTATGAGCTCCTGAAATAAACATCAAATACATGTCAAAACAACAAATCGCAAATCTTTACGAAAAATACAAGGAGCAATGGAACTCGAAAGTCTACAATTTACTGTCCAAATATGAATTCAGATTCAAGATATAAATCATAAAATTTGAAATGATCATTGTAAAAAGAAAATGAGGAGCATGTATAGGAAAGGAAACCTGAATTTCGTTTGGTAGTTCTCTATAATGATTCAATTTGTTTCGCATAACTCGCAATAGGTCCCGAACACTATCGTACTTGTAACGTCTATACCGACCGATGTTAGTGATGAAAATTGGTTCCATCTTTTCATCCCATTTAGTACCTAAAGCTAATTGTGCAGTTTTCTCTAATGCTTTCAAGAGACCAGACTCAGACTCTCTATCTTCCAACTCTACTCTGTCACTTGTATCACGAAGAAAGGAAAGTCGAGTTTCTGAACTCCAAAACAAAGGATGTTGCAATACCTCTGATGCTTTTGGCCTGGTATTAATCAATAGAAAATTATCAAGAGAAATGTTCAATGACATGTATAGGATCTTAAATTGCAAAAGTAACAACCATTAGTTACCTCAAATCGGGGTCAGGATTTAACAATTGAGATATAAGATCTACAGCTTCAGGGATGCTTTGCACCAAGAACAAATCCATCTGGTTCTTCACAATATTGACATCACGCTCAAGACGATCACCAAATGGATGTCTACCACCCGTGATGCAGAAAAAGAGAACACAACCTAAGCTAAACAAATCGACTGCACGCGTCTGTCGTCCATGGAGAAGCTGTTCAGGAGCTTGCCAACCAGAACTCCCACAACCTGCGATAGTACTTGTTTAAGAACAAAAAATAGTCTAACGAGACAATGAACCAACAAAGCATTTAGATGCAAATCATAACATAACACTTTATTCATGTTTTCCATTTATATGAGTTAAAAAACCTTGTTATCAACTAACAATAGCTATTAAAGAATACTTGCCAGTGGCATGATGGCCCAAGGACGACATATCGGCTAGAAGACGCTTGCTGATGCCCATATCAGAAAGCTTTGCACACATAGACTTTTGCTTAATTATCAACACATTTTGCGGCTTTAGGTCGCGATGAATTATTCCCAACTCATGCAAATGCTCAACCCCAGCAACCATGTCCCTGTATTGTACAAGTATCAAAAATCAAAATCTGGAATATGAATTTATTTACATAATGTATATGCAAGAGAAAGATAGAAAAACAAAAAGAACAGTTCTCATAAATTTATAATTTTTTTAGAAAAAAACAGAGTGGTTCTTGTTTGGCTTTGTAGGTACAAAAAGTGACATCTACTCTTAGGTCCAGTAAATATTAATCATCCCACTTATGCGATAAATTATTACATGCAAGTTAATTCAAAAAAAAAAACCGTACACTTAAACAATGAGATCAGCTAACAGGATTAATCCATATGACGAGAGATCTTTATTTTATTGGACAAAAACTTTGTTACTTTGAGTAAGTAAAAAGAGAACCTCATGAGTTTTAGAAGAACTGAGGATGGATGGCCATTTTCTTTCCACAACTTCAAATCTGGCATAACATCCTTGACAGACTCCAAATGCAGTCTATACTTAATCATGGGTTCTGTGTCTTGATCCAGGCCGGGCATAGAGTTAAAGGACTGATCGGAGCAAATCTGAATCAAATCATCTAGGCTGCAGGTACACCGTTCCAACGAAAGATAAACAAAATCTTGATCACTCTCCACCCCGTACCATCGAACAATATTTGGGTGGCGATCAGAAGCAATCAAATTTTGAACTTCTTTGAAGGCAACATCATGGTGAGTCTTGACAAGGCGTTTCACAGCAACAGGTCGACCTTCATATACTCCCTCAAGAACAATAGTACCATTACTACCCCTAGCAATCTCTTTATTGGTTACAAACAATTTACCAATTCGACGTCCAGTGCCAGCATTATCAGGAAGATTACTGTGGTGAAACCAGTTGTTAACGTTACCCTCACTTGGCATAAGCATATCTTCATTTTCGGATGAAACAGATATGTCCCTTTTGTCAGAGTTTACGTTTCTTTTCGACTTTCGAGCTTTGTTTTTCTTGGAAGAGAGAATTTTTGAATTAGAAGTACTGGATAGCTTCTCCCTCAAGAAAAATTGTTTTACCTTTCCAGTCAGTCCCCTACTGAAGGTAACCAATCCCACAAGGATGGTTACTAAAAATACAAAAAACAATCCAAAAGGTCCATTAAGAGTGCCCATTTTATGTCCCTGAACCATACTTGATTCGTTAATCTTCATCAAAGGCATTGGGATTACTGCTTTACTACTTGAATTGGGTGGCAGAGGAGAGGAAATGTTTGGTGCAGGTCCAGGAAGCATCAATTTTTCAGGATGAGTATTTTGCTGTTCATCGACCTTCAATTGGGAAGGAAGTGTTGGACCTGAAGCAGGCACCAAAGACATATTACCAATATTATGAGCCTCTGATAGTCTTTTATACCCAGACGATCCCGAGAAAACATGGCTCCGTTCACGAAAGACAACTACTTTTGATTGGCAAGACAATGGCATAGCAAAATCAAGGTTAAAACTACCATTACTTTGAAGGTTCCAAGGAACACTCTTTGTTGGATTCTCAACCTCTGGACAGAGTAAGGTAGCTCCAATTTCAGCAACATTCAAACTCCAGGCAACTTCTTCCGAACCCGAGAAAGATGATTTCAGAGAATAATCTGTTCTTGTGATATACAGCCGTGGCTCAACAGGGCTCACCACACCAGGTTGTATCAGATCCTTATTGTCTAGATTCTGTTTAGAATTATAACTACTATGTTCCTCGTTACTTAGTTCAGATGACGAGAAATCGGAGATGTGATTACGAATGAGTTTTCCAGTCACTGGATCAACCTCAAAAACAGTAGTTTTCCTAGAACCAATCATCACCGCACCATCCTCGAATATATATGGTGTATTTCTAACAACCTCGTCAATGGAGCTTGGTAGTTTCTGCAATGTCAAGTGATCCCAAGAAAGGAAAGGAGGAAAATAATCAAAGTTGGAGCTATATTTTCCATTCTAGAAATTTAAGGAAATAGAATAGACAGACCATGAATTTTTCTCTAACTGGTTAGCAAAACCAACAAAATAATAATTATAGAATCAAATAACTTTTTCTTCAATATAGTAAGCAGTTTCGAAAGAAGATACTAATATGATGAATGTTATTATCTTACTAAATTTTACCATTTTACCATGCTCTGTGTGCATGTACAGCTCCCAGTCATCTCCACAATCAAAAAAGAAGGAGCTGCTCAAACCTGAAGCATTTTCTTGATTGTGGTCGTGTTCGATATGAGCCTGATACGACGAATAGATAGGTGGTCCAGAAGTAAATGACCAAATTTTATTCATAGAATTACTATCCACCAAATGGATTGCCCCATCCGAAGCAGCAACAAGAGCAGTATTAATTTTACCTTTCCTGCAACAATATAAATTGATGTCACAACTCATTTACATTAATTTATGAAATATGGAAGTAATACCAATATGACGGTGCTGATCGAGATTAGATCTTCTTAAGAAGTTGATAGTCCTTTTTGTTATTTATAGTTGAAAGATGGAAATTCCAAAGGGATGAATGAATTTACCAGTAGATTCACAGATCAACCAAAAATTAGACAAGGTGGAGAAATTCGTTAAACAGTACATATTAGATAGTTTTCAAATTCACATATCTATTAGATACAAAATTGAAAAATTGAAAAATTTTGTGACTAATAAGTCCATCAGATTAGACCCAAATTAAACAATTTTATGTCATGGCCGGTTAAACATATCCCTGAAAGTGCAAACACCTATTAGGCACAACACAATGACTAAACTTGTAGAAACAAAATTCAATTTCGTAACTAATAAGTCCGTCAGATTAGACCAAAATTAAACACTTTATGTCAATGACTGGTTAAACATAACCCTGAAAGTGAAAACACCTATTAGGCACAACACAATGACTAAACTTGTAATTTAACCATAAACATCTCATTCTAAAAAGAAATGAATTTGCCTGAAGGGCCAAGAGATGGATTTAGGTCACAAAAAACATCCCTATCAGAAAACTTATTCTAATCACACTACCACAATTACACACAAAGGGGCAAAAGGCCTTCTGTTGATTAGGCTCCAAACCCTTCAATCTACTCTAATAGGTTCAAAATAAACAGGTAATTGAGAATAAAATAAGCCAAAAATTTTAGCAAAGCTTAAAGCTCGAAGTCATAACTAAGTCCTAATGAATTTTAGGCATCTTATAACGAAATGAAGGAAACTAATTAGAGATTGAAAAGAGAAAAAAAAAATAGTGAGGAAAAAACTCACAGTGGAAGGGACAGAAGAGATCTGCCGCCAGTTCGAGCTAAGCCCTCAGAATTATCCCCATACGGGCTCAAAACGGAGAATTTTGAATTCTCCAGGCTCCTTGATTCGCCAATAGAACTCCGAAATCTTAATATTATGAGTAAAAGTACCCACAGACGGCAAGAGAAACGGCACTTCATCTGAAATGCCTCCAAGGAAATGAGAAGCTGAAGAATGAACAGAAATAAGAGGTGATTTGAAGTGAGATTTTTGAAGAGAAGAAAAATATTAGAAGAAAGGGCGGCAATTGAGAGATTCGAAGCTTCTGCAATCCGTTGCAATCTTAGAATCTCCAAATCGTTGGCCTTACCCCTAAACCCAAACCCAAATCCAAACCGCGTTCTTCCTTCTGGATCTAGCCAGGTGCTATCCCAGATTCCTAACGCATGTTTTTTTTTTTCTTTCCTTCTTTTTCAATCTAGTTTACCCGATCGTCTTAGATTGTTGCGATGGATTTTCTTTTTCTTTGATAATTACTCTGGTTTTAGGTTTGACGAGATATTCGTGTTCTTAATTATTTTAAAATATTATTATTTACACGCACATATTTACGATAAATTTTTCAGGCCGAAATATATAGTTGATTAATTATAAATTTAGTGTTTTGGACAACTTTTTATTTCGGATTCAAACCTCCCATTTTTACGATCTTATTTTAATTTAATGTCTAAAGTATGAACCTCGTTTAAATATTAATATGACATGTTTATTCACTTGACAATATATTGCTTAACTTGATGTGTTATGTAATTTAATTTAAAATGTAATAAGACTTGTTATATTTAATGCATAAACTTGATTTATTGTATCAACTCAATGAAAACAACTATCACCTTCTTTTTCCATTTTGTTCTCTTCCAACCACTTAATTACTTTTAAACTAATTTTAAATAATATACACGATAATAGCTATGGGATTGATTAATTTAAAAAAAATAATATATTTGCATAAATTTAAAATTTTAAAGATATTATTAAATAATATATTGTTTTATTTAATTTGATCCATAATCATTTTTAGTATAAATTGTAGGATGAGATTCGAACTCACGAACCAATTTATTACTATATTTAAAATCTAATCAAATATGTTAAGTCTCAATTTGCACGAGATGAGTCTGAAGTGAGTTGGCAGTGGGATGTTTTGTTATTTGTTAATTAAGAAATCATTTTTATAAATTATATAAAAAATGTATTTTATTAGAATTTAAAATACTACGTTAGACTTTTAGAGCTAAATATTTGTTTTTATTCCAAAATGTTGGGGTGTTCTTTAACTTATGTTCTATTGTTTTAAAATTTTCAGTTTAGTTGTTTTTTAACCTAAGTATACCTTTATCACTAGGCAATATCAAAATTGGTTGATGACCAGCATCATTGCATAATGTTAAAATTGGTCAACGACGAACTTACATCTCATACTACTTAACAATTTGGAAGAAATTTAGACGACAAATTTTTGTTCAATGAAGAATTATAAATTTTGATCTTTTAAATGAATTAAAAGTTTCAATCAACTAGCTTGTCATCAATTGTTTTCTAAGCTTGCTAATGAGGAGCGTATAATTTAAAAATGTTACAATATAATCTTTTTAAACAATTGAGAGACTAAATTGAAAAAACACTCCAATATTAGGTACTAAAATATAAAAAAAAAATTGTAATATTTTAAGCCTTCTCAATCAATGATCTATTTTTTCTAATTAAAAAAATGGTGAATTTAAATCATAATAGATGTATTATTTTACATTACTTTTTTTAACATTTTCCCAATAGATATGAAGGTGCCTATGTAAGAGTCTTCCTCCATCTTCTTCTGAAAATTCAAACCTCCAACGTTTAAAGATGTCAAAATCTCTATAGCATTTGTATAATCGTTGTGTTGCATATCATATTAAGTATATTTAAAAATAATTCCTAACATATGATTTTTCTTTTCAATTGAACTTACAGAATGGTCATGAGTATAAGTATAAGAAGTCCAAATTTTCTCTTTAAATTTAAAAAAAATATGGCGTTTTACCTTAAACTTTACTTTTATGAAACTTATATTATAAATGATAATGTAACATGTTTATTGATTCAACTTTAACATAATAGAATAAACAATTAAAAACAAATAAAAATAAAATGACACATGCGATATGTACTCTTGCAACATATTGCAACGATGCTCTAGTGCTCTTTACTCTAGAGTAAACAAATTATCGGCATATTTTTCATGTATTCTTCTTCCATAAAACTTCCATAGTTATTAATAATCTCCATGAGAATATGATGAGGTTTCTCTCTCATCAGCTAAATGGGCTGAGTTTTTTTTGTAAATGGGCTCAGTTACTTAGGCATAAGGCCCACACATTAAATCAGAAATTAAAGGGCCGATAAAACAAAGCCCATAACAGGCCCAATGACGAGAACTCATTTTTGTTACTTTCATATATTTCTTTTTAGATGAACTCATTTTCTTTTTATATTCTTGTCAACTCACTAAGTATGGTATTATATTTGCTCATCATAAATCAATTTAAAAAATCGTCAATAATGAGAGTATAATTAAAAATGTTAAAATACAATAGATTAAACTCTCCGTATTCTTATCAATAATTCGATTTTCAAGGCTGACTCTTTCAACCGCTCAAACATCCATCTCTCAGTGAGGCTAGGATAAAGTTGCGTCAAAAATTCTTATTCAAGATAAACTCACGAAGAAGTGGAACCTCTTTATGATCTACTCCAAAAATTTCTTAAGCAATTGAGATTAAATTGAAAAAAGAGAAAAAAAAATACTCAAAATTTAGGGATTAAAACATAAATTTTTTCTACATTTTAAATAGGTTAATATTTTATAATATTTTAAACATTCTCGATTGAGTAATGTTTTTCTATTGCTTTAAAAAATTGACATTTAAAATAATGTTAGGTGTATTATCTTCTATTACTTTTTTTTTATTTTTCTCCTCATAGATCCTCAGTGTCCATTTGTATAAGAGTCTTTCTTCTTCTACTAAACTAAACAACGGGTTGAGAAATTCAAATCTCAAACTTTTAAGAATATAAGAGTGTTTGAGGCATTTTGTATAAATGTGGTGTGTCACGTCTTATCAAGTATTTTTTTAAAGTATGATTTTTTTTTTCAATTGAAGTTGTACCATAATTATAAGTATTAAAAAATATCAGTTTAATTTTTTAACTTTAAAAGAGTATTTATCAACTTTAAATTTCGATTTGATAGAGTTTATTTTATAATATTTTGAATTAAATGATGATGTGACATGTCTATTGATTCAACATAATATAATAGATAAATGACAGGAATAAATTAAATAACTATTTAAAAAAGATAATAAAATGACACGTGCAACATACCCAATTGTTGAACAACATATTCCATTGATGCTATATCGACCTAGACTCTCGTGTAAACTAAAATTATCCGCAGTTTTCATGTATGTTTCTTCCACGAAACTTCAACACTTCGTTAATCTCCTTGAGGATGTGACAAGGTTTCTCTCTCGTCCAGCTAAATGGGCTCATTTACCAAGGCTTAAAGCCCACACACCAAAAGCAGAACTTAAAGGTAAAAGAAAGCCCATAACAGGCCCAATGAGAAGAACTAAAGTACACGACTGACTTAACAAACTAAACTCAGAAAAAAAAGGAGAAAAAGAAGAAGAAGAAGAGGAAGAAGCCTTATACAGAAACACTAGGTTCCTCGTCATTATTATTAAATAACATTAAATCTACTGATTTATACTTTTTGTTATAAAATACTACAAATTTCTATTTAATTTTAATCAGCTACGTGTCAATTCCAAAACCAACTACTAAAAAACATTACCATTAAATAAACGAAGTATTTTTTTAGATAAAGCAAATAAACGAATTAGTTAAATTAAATCATCAACAATATTTAAAAAAAAAACAACAAAAAGTTATACCATATCATCTCATTCTCAACATTTTTTTAGTCAATTTCAAGTGAATGCTATTCATCTCATTTTTTTTTCATTAGTGTTATTTTGATTCCTTTGTCTTTATATATATTGTTGTTAAATGAAGGAGATTGAAATAAAATATTGAAGGGAATAAAATGTGTTATGCAAAGCATTGCAAAAACAAAAAACAAAAATGGTGAGAAGATGCTTAATTCCTTTAGGAGCGTAGAGGACAAAAGACCAAGTTGTTGTTTCTTTAAATAAACTATGAAAGGGATGAGCCCAAAAATTGTTTATTTAATTTGGGAGAATGAGGACAAAAATGGATTTAATAATTATGATTTTTATTTCTTTTTGCAAATGGATAATCATGGAACTTGCAGGGATTATTTCTTGGCCGCCACAACTTTATTTTTATTTTTATTTTAGTTAAATAACGAATTAGCTTTCTTTTCTTACCTTTTTGTTGGTGGCGGAGAACGGGATTTTGTCTCGAGGAAAATTCAAAGTTTTTATATTTAAACTTGTAGTGTAAATCAATTGTTTTTTTAATTTTACAGAGAGTTGTATTCAATCGTAAATTTGGACAAATTCAGGTCCCGTGATAACTTTTTTTTTTTTAATCTTCTGTTTATTTTATTTTTAAAGATTAAGTTTATAATTATTACTCCCACTTATTTTTTTGTCTTATTGTCGGCATGTAAAAACATTTTTAAACATTTTTAAACATTTGTAATTTTTATCTTCTATTAGACTTTTATCTGAAGAACTATTGAGTGGATTCAATAGATTTGTTAATAGATTACAAACAAATGTGTAATGCAAAATTGATGGACTTTAAATAAATATGATACCTAAATCTAGACTTCCTGTTGAGATTTGGTTTTAGTTTAAATGAGGGGGTTTTATTTATTTATTTTTAATTCATGGGTAAATATTTTTTTTAGTACAATAATGGGGTGGAGATTCGAATTTTTGACATTTTAATTAGAGACAGATGTCTATTATCATTAAGTTGAGCTCATGTTCGCTCGGGGTAAATATATTGAAAGACTATAGAGTGTAAAAATTGTCACATTTATCTAAATATATGATCCAATATGATTAAATTGAAAGTTTAAGTAAAAATTGATTTAAAATAGGCAAATTAGAGTAAGTTCGAATATTGTATAGTGGATGAGACATCAATTACATTTTGTGAGGATAGAAAGTTAATCTTTCACTTAATTTGATATGCTAAAAAATATTGATATCATTAGATATTTTTTTAAAAATAACAAAATTTTAAAATTGACAACTAAACCATTTATATATTCAAAATAAGTTGAAAATTATTATTACTTCTATTTGTTTAAAAAAGAGAAATTATTTCTACCTTAGTGATTTTTGTTGATTTTTTTTAATTTCATATTTTTTCACTTTTTGTAACAATATGAAAATAGATTCATCCCTTATGTCGGTATCGAACTCATAGATACATATAAATAGTGATATGTCATCGAAAATTGTACATCCGAATTGCCTTCTTTTCCTATTTTTCATGTGACATACTTTTATTGAGTTTCTTCTTTCTTCGGTTGTATTAAACAAATAAATTACCTTAGTACTTTTATCCAAAAAAAAAAAAAGATTTAAATACAATTTTAAATGCCCACGGGAGTATAGTCAAAATATTAGAAATTCAAATTCTCTCATGATGTAGGTTGACTTAAATAGGTATTTAGGGTGTCTTTGGAAGCGATTTTGGTCTCTACCACTATCAAAATTACTTATCTTTCCATTAATCATGTTTGACAAATTATAAAATAAAATTTGAAGGCTGATTTTTTTCTCATAGTACAACATGTGAGGGTGATAGATCGAACTCGCAACCTCTTAATTGAATATATATATCAATTACCGTTGAGCTATGCTCGCTTTAACTTTTTTTCATATTTTATTAAAGTATCGGAAGCATTATGTAATAGATTTAAAAGATTAGTATCAAAATATAATTTAAATCATAGCTTTTTGAATAAGAATATAAATGTGGTATCTAACGATTAAAATGAAAAATATATAACCACGTCAGTCAGAAGTCAGAACCCTTGTGCGCTTGCCCAACCTTGGAAAGTTGGAATCAGTTCCGGCACGTGCCCGTTGCCAATTTTGTCTTTGGCTGGAAATATAAGTGGGAATTAATTAAAGAGTTTCCACACGTGCAAAATAACCTAAAAAAATTGTTTAAATAATATATTATTATTATTTTTTGAGCAAAGCATTTCTTTTAGCTTTTGTTTATTTTCTAGTATACTTTCAAAACTATATTTTAGTCTTTATACTCTTAAGTTTTACCTATTTTGATCTCTATAATTTCAATACGTTCGTTTTGTCTTCATATTTATAAGGTGGACTATTTTGGTCCTATACTCAATAAAATTTTTGAAATGTGGTGATTATAATTTTATATTAAAGAATTTTATTGGGTATGTAATTTATGTTAAACTTTTGTAAATAGCGATTAAAATTATCATTTTTCAAAAGTACCAGAACTAAGGTATTTGTTTTTAATGTATATAGACTAAAATGAATAAAAATTGAAAATATAGGAAATAAAAATTAACAACTTAAAATTACCTCCTCTAAAGTTGAAAAATTCAGAGACTCAAATAATATTTGGATTATAAATACACCAGTCACAAGAATCTATATAAAAAAATAATAATAAAAAAGATAAACAAGGTTGTGAATTAATATAATATTTCTTTAGGCAAGTTGTTAAAAAAGAAAGGCGATTTCTACAGCCAAAACACATGCAAACCCTAACATGTCTGGATTTGAATAATAATTAATTTTCAAGTCACGCGATATTCAAAATTTCTTGGAAATTTCAACCAACCATGGATGGCTAATTCAAATTTATATGCAATTTGGCATGTCACTTGGCTCCATTTTCAAATATTAATTCGAGTTCTTTCTAGTAATTTTTTTTTAAAGGCTATTTATTCAACAAAAACAAAGTCAAATGTAATTAAAAAGAAAATGCCCAATCATGACATTTATTTTTGTGAGATGGGAGGGCAAGTAGGCAAGTTGTGGGTGTGATATATTAGGTATGCTCGAAGACTTTGGGGTTGAAGTCAACTCTATGACTTTTACGGCCTCAAAAAATCTATCGAACATCACTCAGTATATTATAGAGGTTGTTGTAATCACACACTAAAATTTTCAATTCAAACAATTATCCCTTTAAAATAACGAATTTATTGTAACTAAATTTTAAATGTTGCAAAATGCACCAACCACCCTAAGTCTATAAAGATTGTTTTACACGATCAAAATCTCCGACTATGAAATTTTTATCAGTAAAATTTGAAAACTTTAATACTAAGTATTTACCCCAAAAAGGCTTTGTTTTTAGATCCATGAGCCAATATCTTGATTTTTAAGAAAAAAAGTATGATGTAAATAAATTTAAGTTTGATTATAACAATACTTATAATTTTACGGACGATTTGTGCATTTTGCAATATTTAAGGGTTTTAGCTGCAACAATATTTAAGGATTTTAGCTACAACACTTTGTAATTTTATGGGAGTTATTGATTAAATTTAAAGTTTGATGGTGTAATTATGACAAACTCTTGTAGTTTGGGATAGTTTTTACCATTTGTCCTTTTGATTTATTATTCTGTATAAATTCAATCAATCTAATTTTATACTTACTCATTAAAATATAAAAATGGTAGTAGTATACAATCTTTATATATTTAAGTGATTGTTTGAAAATTTTAAGAAGATTATAAACAATTTCTTTTTTATATCCGTGAGCGTTCGGGTCAGCTTACGTATGCTTCGACTAATCTCGGGCAACGTCTGACCCTACAACATTTGGTGTTATATTTAGTTTATTTTTCAAAAAATGGAATAACTATGTTAATAAATAAAACATTTTGATATTTTTGAATCAAAAGGAAAATAAATATTAAATAAAAAGAAAATCGAGCGACAACAAATCATTAATTCATTATCCACGAAGGTATAGTGAAACGAACAATAAGACACCTTACCGTTACACGCTCCTCTCATGAACAACACCATTCTTACTTCTCAAGATATGACAAAACGCCTCAATCTCAACCATTTCCACCTCTCATGGGACGACCAACTTTGTCCCTGTGAGGAGACCATCAACATCATCACTAAAACAGTTTGATGATTGAACTAAATAGTGCATAAAAATAAAATTATTTGGGTAGAAATAAAAACAAAAAGAATATTTGACCGTCATTATCAATGGGAAATCAATTAGATGTAAAGACTGTGCCAAATGGAGAAATAAAGAAAAAAAGAGGAAGAAAAAGACTGTAATAGACAGAATTAATATAATATTGAATATTACATAAAATGACAGAGTTATCCATATGAACTATGAGCCTACTTGCCAAAACTATTTTTTAATGATATTTTTATAAATTGAAATCGATCGATTTATTTAAAATATCACATAAATGTTACAAACGAAGTCGAACTAAAAAGGAAGAGTAATAAACTTAAAAAAAAAAGAATTAATATCAAATTAAAATATAAAATTTTACCTTTTAAAAAATATTTTGAAATCACTGGATTGGTTGGAGATACATAAAAATGGTAAGATGAATTTGAAATTTTGATAAAAATATTATCAAAATAAATGTGAAATAAGTATGGATATATTAGTTTATTGATTTAAATCAATATTATGGATTTGTATGCTTTATTATTCTTTTTCATTTTTTGGAAATATATGTAGACATTTTCCTCCACCTGTCCATAAATTTTGAAAGTTGGTATCTTTGTCACTACCAGCATTTAATTCCCCACCTGTCTAATAATGTTTTATTATAATTTTTTAATTTAATTTATAAGAACCCTTGACTCATAATTTTATTACGTTTGAGGTGAATTTTAAACGCCTAATAAACCAACAAATTAGTAAATTGAGATAAATAAATCTATATGGCAAATATTGACTCCACAATTCTAACGATCTTTATTACTGCTATGATAGGTTGTCTCCATCCTTCTCAAGTTTGAGTAGTGAATTTGTGTAGCTAATAAAATTAACAAACTAGTAATTTGAGATGAAAATGTCTATAACTTCTCATTCATTAGCTATTTGGAATTTGATTGGAGGGAGATATGAGACGGAAATTAAGTTTCAACTCATCACCAACAATATCAAGAAAATACAAAAATAAGTGAGAGTTGAGAAGTTCTCTCGTATTTCAAGAAATCTTAATGAAATAACAAATGCTTAGACTTTTCCTACTCGAAAGAAAAGGTACACATCTCTTATCAACAGAGTCGTTTGACATCACATCTTGGAGTGGATTAGAGACAATTCCATTTGGGCTCAAGATGCCTTTCGTACAATAACCTTCCCATCGAGTAATTCGCTTTTTGTTATCTTTTGATTTCTTGGTATCAAAAAGAAAAAACTTCACAATCATGACTCAAATTCAATATATGGGCTAAGTCTTAAATACAGTGTACGAAAATGAGAGTTTCAACCATAAATTTATGTTAAAAAAAGTTCCTATCATACTAAAAAAAATCGTCTTTTTAAATCAATATGAACATAAAGCACTTACTTTCAGTAAAAAGAAGTTGTAAGTTCCAATTTTCCGAGGTTACCTAAATTGTCTAAGAAAAAGTAAAAATTTTGGATTTTTATGGGTGATCCTCTCTTTACTTCATCTGCTGTCACGGTAATCTAGGCGTTGTGCTTATTTGACACCCCGAAACGTGTGGACCCAATTACTGTAATGAAAGAATCCCAATTGAAGATCATTTGGATTTGTTAAAAAACAAATACAAAAGATCAAAAAGTAAAAGTGGAGTGGTTTCCATTCGACATTTTCTTCTCCAAAAAGGGGTCAGAAATGGCTCCGATGACCCTCTATTCCACTGACTCCTTCCCCAATTTTTCCCAATTCAAAACCTCACCCAAATAAATACAGCTTACTGTTTCGAATCCCAGGTTTTGCAGTTATTGAATTTTGGAATTTTTGCCCAAATCTTTAAGACTGGAGCTGGCCGTGGACCCAGCTTCTACTCGTCGGCTGGCTCTGAAAATGAACGCCTCTCTCTCTGTAGAAATAACATTGGTTTTTGGGGTTCCGTCTTCTCTCTGTTAATTCGGTCAACTCAGCTGTCAAAGGCTACTGCCCCACCTAAAGGGTCGACTTCGTCCAGCCCCTTTTCTTACTCTGATATATATGGCGGTTCTCTCTTAAGAACCACTTCATTTTATTGCTTTCTAAGCCTGACCATCTTCTAAATCTTCTGTCATCTGCGTTTTCTTGCATTTGGGTCGTGTTTGGAACCTGAGAATGTTGCTGGTTTTGTATTTGTGTCTGAGTTTGTTGTACGGCAGAGCGTGGGCGGCGCCGGCCGCCGATGGCCCGACGAGGGAGCTCGATCAGACTCCGACATGGGCCGTCGCCGGTGTTTGTGCTATTATCATCATCATTTCAATTGCCTTGGAGAAACTCCTCCATAAAGTTGGAACGGTAGGTTTGTTTTGTTTTGTTTTTTTTTTTTAATAATCGTCCTGATTGTGAAATTGAAAGCTTCTTTGTTCTTCTCTTCTCAAATGACGTCCGTTTGATGTGGCTGCTTTCGTTCCTTCTTCTTTTTGTTTTCTTAAATCTCATCAGTCATTACCCAGTTGAACTTTTGTTTCTCCTGTATTTGCCTGCTATTGACTTCTTCATCGGGCTTTGATGTTTTTATGTCATACTTGTCTTTAATGGGGATGCTTGAAATTTGAAATGTTCGTCATTTGAATCTGAATAATAGATTTTTGATATCATCATGTTTCTCCTGATTTCTTCATTTAGTGGCTTACGGAAAAGCACAAGAGAGCTCTTTTTGAGGCTCTGGAAAAGGTTAAAGCTGGTAAGTTCCACAACAACTCAAAAAGTCAATTCAGTTTCTGCCCCTCTATAAACTTTGTCAGATGGAGAAAGTTGAATAAGATAAATTTGTGATTGATTTCTTTTTGGTTGCAGAGCTGATGATTCTGGGTTTCATTTCACTACTTCTGACCTTTGGGCAGAACTATATTGTTAAAATCTGCATTCCCACAAAGGTTGCAAACACTATGTTACCGTGTGCGGCCAAAGTGGAAAAGGACTCAAGTGCAGCCGATGAAAGCGAACACCGTCGAAGACTTCTATGGTATGAACGTAGATTCTTGGCTGCTGCTGGCGGTGCTGTTAGTTGCAAGGAAGTAAGAATCTTTATCTGTATGCATTATTCTTTGACTATATAATTTGATTGTATTTTTGGAAAATTCGCATACCAATTGGTTAATGTTTTGTTAACAGGGTCATGTGCCGCTTATATCGATCTCGGGATTGCATCAGTTGCACTTATTTATCTTCTTCTTAGCTGTATTTCACGTAGTATACAGTGCTATCACAATGATGCTTGGGCGGCTAAAGGTATGGGAATTCTTTGTATTCTCCATGTTAAGCTGTAAAGAATGTTTGTGCTCAGAAATTGGCATACAATGTTTTCCTTTGAAGAACTATGAAAATGGGGTTGGGACAACATATCAGTCTAAAACGTCAACTACTGAAAGTAATTTATGAATAAGAGAAGTTTTGGTTATGGATTTCGAAATGTCTTTACCTTTATAAGGTGTTAAATCAACTCGTGCTGATGTTTTATACATTTATTTCTTCTCCGTGCACAGATTAGAGGTTGGAAGGCATGGGAGGAGGAAACCTCAACTCACAATTATGAGTTCTCAAACGGTATGTCACAATCCTTTCCTTTGAAAAAAACTACAAGTTTCATCTATAGCCTGACTTTTGCATGTCCCTGTCCCAAACTTAAGTGATGATTTATTTTCTCGTGGATGGATCGACCTTCCCACTTTGGAACTAAGCTCAATGAACTCGTCTCTGTAGATCACGCACGATTCAGGCTTACTCATGAAACGTCATTTGTGAGAGCCCACACAAGCTTTTGGACTAAAATTCCCGTCTTCTTTTATATTGTAAGTAAAGTTTCTCCTAAGCTATGCAACTCCTATTTCCTTTCTTGTGATATTTCTCATTGTGGAATTACTTGGACTTAATGTGGGAATACTAAGAACGCCGAGATGCATGGGTGCTTCAATCACCAACGGTCAATAAGGCAATGTTCGTTTATTGTGTATTAGCGGAGATGGAGTGAAGGGAATCATGATCTTTTATTTAAGATACTGCAAAGGAAATTAGCAATGCACAACCACATATTCCCTCCTCCATTACAAGGACCAGAATTAGATTCTTTAGACTTGATTAGAGATATGAGTATGATGGTTTGGACACTTTGTCCTTACAATTGATTTCAAACTCCTAAAATATGTTATTTTGTTGCAGGGGTGCTTCTTCCGACAATTTTTCAGGTCCGTTGGTAAGGCTGACTATTTGACGTTACGCAATGGATTCATTGCTGTGAGTTTTCGATTCCCAGCCACCTTATATACAATACAACTTATTTGTTCCTTTTATGACAGTGGCTCTACATATGTAGGTTCATCTAGCTCCAGGAAGTAAATTTGACTTTCAAAAATATATTAAAAGATCTCTAGAAGACGACTTCAAGATTGTTGTGGGAGTGAGGTAAAAGTTAGATCTACTATTTGCTCCTCTTCCAAAAGAGTACTATGTTTCAATGGGTGGATCCTTTTTTCCGAGTGACCGAAACCTGTACACTTTAATGTTGTTTGCAGTCCCGTGCTTTGGGCGTCATTTGTCCTTTTCTTGCTCGTAAACGTTGATGGTGAGCTAGTCGATCCAAATTATGCTCTTTTGAAGTTCGTAATCCCAAATGCGATTCGAGCACGGGTTATTAATATACTCTCTTATTTACAGGATGGCAGGCATTGTTTTGGTCATCCTTAATCCCTGTAATCGTAAGGAATCTTTTCTTATTGGAACACGATTCTTGGCTTAACTGATTATGATTATTAGAAGTTCTTAACAACTTGTATCAATGGCAGATAATCCTGGCTGTTGGAACAAAGCTTCAAGGAGTTATGACAAAAATGGCTCTTGAAATTACAGAAAGACATGCTGTTGTCCAAGGAATTCCTCTTGTTCAGGCATCAGACAAATATTTTTGGTTTGGAAAACCTCAGTTGGTTCTTTATCTCATCCATTTCGCATTATTTTCGGTAATAACAAACAAGATTCTTGGCATATTTTACATCTTTTTGCTGTCTCATAATAAATCTCTAGTGTTTTGTTGGCGTAGCTCATTCCTCACTCCTAAGATTTAAATTAATGTTCTTGATCCTCTTTTTTATTTTTAATCAAAGCCATGCTTTTATATGTCGTACATGATGAACTGAACAATGTGATAAGTAACTTAGAAGTAACTTGATCCATTTTTTCAAAAATAATTTTATAGGACAAAATTATTCTTATACAAATTTGTTGTAAAGCTTGATCCTAATTATAGCTGTCTGTGTTTTTGCAGAATGCGTTCCAAATAACATACTTCTTCTGGATCTGGGTAATTTCTTCTCCTTTTCTTATCCGATATTTGAGGTTTTGTTTGATAATCATTTTTCTTTTTTTAAATCTAAAGCGTATTTGCTAACAATTATTTTTTTTAAAATTCTGATCTACTCTCATAAACATTGTAAAAATCTTAGAAAAATTATAAAAATCCAAAAATAGCAGTTTACCATAATCAAACAAGCTCTTCTGTTGAGTTTTTAACTCAAGAAATGTCAAATATTTTGATGTGCAGTATTCGTTTGGGCTAAAATCCTGCTTCCATTCAGATTTCAAGATGGCAATTATAAAAGTTGGTTTGGGGTAAGCCTTAAGTTCTTTAATGCTCTGCTCTTATGATGTGAACTGTGAACTTTTTGTTGAAAACGTCTCTTTTGGATGTTTTGCCATCTCAACTCACAAACATCCACAGATATATTGCTTTTCTTGCACGTATTTTGTGTACCATAGCACGAGACTGCAAACATCGAACGGTTCGAGTTAAAACGGGTTGTATTTTGATGGTGGATTTGCAGGGTTGGTGTCCTTTGTCTTTGCAGCTATATTACTCTTCCACTGTATGCTCTTGTGACTCAGGTACAACTTCTATATTAAGTTTCATGTAACTTCTTGTATAATTTTGCTGGGTTGTGGGATATGGCTGACTTGGGGGCTTTGCAGATGGGTACGCGTATGAAGAAGTCGATCTTTGACGAACAAACATCAAAGGCTCTCAAGAAGTGGCACATGGCTGTAAAGAAGAGGCAAGGAAAGTCCCCAACTCGAAACCTGGGGAGCCCGGCCACTTCGCCGATGCATTCGTCAGCAGGATACACATTGCATCGTTTCAAGACCACAGGTCACTCAAACAGATCATCCATGTATGAGGAGAATGAGGCATCTGATTATGAAGTTGATCCATTGTCACCTAAAGAATCAACTCCAAATTTTACGGTTAGAGTAGACCGTGGTGATGAACATCAAACCGAAATAAGCGAATCCCAGCATGGGGAAAAGCTGAGGAATGAAGATGAATTCTCATTTGCCAAGCCTGGGCCATTAAAAGGACCATGAAAATATTCTGATTGAGATTAACATTTGATTTTGTGTATCCTTTTGAGTTGGATTTTTTTCCAGACTTTCACACGTAGGAATTAAAATTGTAGCAAATGATTTGTATATTCTTGGGTTGTTTATAAATTGTTGGGTGTTCATTGGCCAGAATTTTACTTGATATCTTCAATAAACAAACTGAACATACGCTTACTGTGATGAAGGAATATCATTATGAAATTTAAGGAAAAATGTCTTAAATTCCCGCCAAAACATGGATTCTAATACAACCAAAACCTCATTTCAAGTCAATTATCTACTGTGGTTATAGGGTCGGCTTGTTTCGCACCCACGGCGAAGAAGTCGGAGATCACCTCCAGGGGCATGCCCTTGGTCTCAGGAACCTTGAGGAAGACAAAGATCCAGGAAATGATGCATATCACGGCGTAGGCACCGAACACCCCACCTAGTCCAATGGAAGTGAGCATAACCGGAAGTGAATACGTGACAATGATGTCTCCGATCCAGAATGTGAGGGCGCATATAGCAATGCAGAGGCCTCGAACTCGCGTTGGGAAGATCTCGGAGCAAAGGATGTTGGGGATTGGACCAAAGCCCATGACGAAGCAACAGAAGTAAGCTACAACACTGATGGTCGAGATTGCTGCATTGGCGACAGAACCCATGTCGATCATACTACCGACGACGAGTACGATCAGTGATATTATCAGTACAGGAATGGTAGATAGCAGAAGTGACCTGCAAAAAGAAGACAACTCCATGGTCATATTTGAGTACACGACACAAGCAACTCAAAATCATTTCGAGGAACAATGGACTGTTGCTTTTGTCTACCTTCTACCGGCTACGTCCATAAGCCTCATGGCAACGCCTATGGAAGGAAGCATCAATAATGTAGTGAGAGCACTAATGAGTAGTGATGCAGAGGCTGAACCAAGGCCCAGATTGGACAGAAGCACTGCAACACCTGCCTGTTCTAGAATCTGAGGCGTGTAGTAAAGTACACCATTTATACCTGAAAACTGCGTTAAGAAATGAAAAATTGTCCATGATTGAGAATATTCAAAGGGAATCCAATCCAACACGGTTTCATTGAAAGTGGAGTGACCAAGTGTGGGATTTAAGAAACCACCTGCTGAAGAATCTGAAGTCCTACACCAACAAACAATGCACGTTTGACTCCTGGCTCTAAGATCTCTCTCCAAGAAGGCCCTTTAGTGGCACTTTCAGATGGACGAATAACTTCTGGGCCAATAGGATGGCTGCCAATCCGGAGAGCAGACTGGCCGACCAGACCAGCTGCTTGAATATATTCTCCATCACCCTGCATTTCACCTCCTCCAGAAACAGAAAGAGTAGATCCATGCTGATGTGCATCTGTGCCTTCTTGGTGCAAGTATATCCTTTGATATCCCTCTTCTTTTTTCCCGGTTCCATCAACTCGCTCGGTTCGTTTCCACATCAGTTGCCAGCCACCACCAATTCCTGTAGTATTAACTGCCTCACCAGCAGCATTTGGTCGGATCATGATGGTGCTGCCTCTCCTTGGGACGACATCCTTGTCCGACGTCTGACGTGAGAGCAATGGGCTCTTCACGTTATCCTCAGCTTCAGCTTCAGGATCAGATACATAGCCATCACCATCCTTCTGGCTTTCCACATCCCAGTTGTCATTCCCTTGTAGGACGAAGATGGTAGTATCAATGCACCTTTGCCAAAATCTTGAAGTAAAATATTGATGCCAATAATAGATTTAACGGTGTTTTCTTTAAAGAATCACATTTTTAGATTAGGACCATGATGATTATCTTATGCATCATTTCTCGCCCATTATATAAGAATTCATGAAAAAAGAATTTATAAGTTAATTTACGTCATGAAAACTGTTAGGATTTTTAGCTCGAGAAGACGTATAAATTCTTCATCAGATAACATCCATACATGTAATATTAACCACTAGAATTGATCTAATTCAATCATAAATGTCAGAGAAATTTAAGAATTGTAAACCTTTATCCTGGTACCTTGCTGATCGGTGGTCACCATATTATTGAACATGCTTCCAAAGTTTGGAAGAAGCATACTGCGCAAACTTCCCGAGTCACCAGGAACCTTCTCGTGGATACTGCCAAAGAGAGTTACCACAGGATCTATCAATGGAACACTCTGGTTAAAAATGCTTCCATGGCGGGACGCTATGGCAATTGAACTTTGTCCACGGACGGGTTTGGCAATCAAAGATGCGCCGCCTCCCTCGGGTCCGTATAACTTGATCTGACCCTTTTCAGTACTCGATTCGTCAGTTGCTGGGCCAATCATGTACTCTTCTACTGATGTTTCTTCACTTGAACCAAGACCCTCAACCAGCAGAGCCAGCTCCCCTGCAACATCCTCCCTCCCCCGAAGTTCCTGCAGAACTTTCTTGGCTTCATTCATCCTGCCTTTGCTGACAAGCCAGCGGGGAGATTCAGGGAGAAACAGTATGGTTAAAGCAAGATAAACAAGAGATGGCATAAAAAGAACTCCAAGCATCAGTCTCCAGCTAGGTGATTTCGTCAGGGACATTCCAAAAACCATGCAGTATGACAAAAACATTCCAATAGAACCAGTGAACTGAGGCAGGGTGTTTAATAGCCCCCGAATCTCAGCCGGGGCGGTCTCGGAAATATACACAGGAACCAATGTAACAGCAAGTCCAACTCCAAATCCATCTAATAGCCTGGCTAATAGCAGGACGTGAACATCAGGCGCCCACAACATAACAAGACCACTGGTGAAATAAAGAAGCGAGGAGACTATCATCATAGGACGTCGTCCAACTGAATCAGATAAGGGTCCTGAGAATGTGGTAATGAATGTAGCCCCAATTAGGGACATGGCCACGATTAGCCCTTCGGTTGTAGGGTCACCTTCCAATTTGAATTCCTTCTTGATATACATAACAGCTCCTGAAATGAGTTGGTGCAGTTATTTCAGAAATTGGGTTTAGTTGGTTCATATCTACACTTTTAGCAGCCCAAAACACAATCCCAGAACATGTTTAGAGTTACACTGATTCATCTCATCCCTCAACCTTAAAAGAACAGGACCCAGTGACTGAAAGAAAGGCAATAAGCAATCAAAGGAACTTTTAGTTGGTTCGTATCTACACTTTTAGCAGCCCAAAACACAATCCAAAAACAAGTTTATAGCTACACTTATTCCTCTCATCCCTCAATCCTAAAAGAATATGACCTAGAGATTAAAATAAGGGAAGTAAGCAATCAAAAAAAAAAGACACATCAGATACAGGTAAAAATTGCAAGACAATGACACAGATTACTTATGATCCAGATATTTCATGGCATAAAATCAAATCAGTAACAGACATTTAGAAACTGCATCGATTGTACCTGCAATGGTTGCATTATCCCAGCCCTGCAACAAATTCCCGATTGCTGCAGCAACTGCGACGAGCACAGCTCCCCTCATCCTTACCAATGCGGTGAATTACTGCAACTCTGGGAGCCAGCTAAAGCATTAATGTATTAAATGAACGCTAATGGTAGCGAAAACCTGTCTAAGGACGCCGGATTCGAAAACAATGATAGTTAGTGATGTTAGATGAAAACGTAAGGGAATTTTTTTTTGCCGCTGATTGGTGAATTGTAGGGAAAAAAGAAAATTGCGAAAAACAAAAGTTGCGAATATGAGATCGGAGGTGACAGAGTAGGGAATAGTGATTGGCAATTCATGGCCGAAAAATATGGCGCTGCGGTCAATTTTCCTCCATCTGTGAGTATGAGCATACAGCCCGAAATACGGTGCAGATTCGGATTTGAAGGAGATCGAAATGGATGTCATTTTACGTAGTTTCTGTGAATGATGATTATGAACAAATGAACAAAAATAACGCAACTGATTCTTCAATCTCTCTCTCTCTCTCTTAATCGACAAGTTCTTCTGAAAAATGAACTATATTTCATGGCGACACGACACTAGGCCTTCTATTGCAATTTTACTACATACTTTATTTCTAATTATTTAGTCTCGTCTTTTCGTAATAACCAATCAATTCTAGGTTTGATGTAATAAAAAATAAATCAATTTACTCTATTTTCAAATGTTCTTTTTTTGACAGATTATTATTTCTTATATTTTCCATTATGTTTGTTTTAGTCTTCCTAGTTTCAACGTGTTATTCTTGTATTTTTAAAAACTGATCAATTTAATATCTATTTATAAAATTTTAATACAATTTTTGTACGCGGTTAAAAATTTTTATTACATTTTTATGATCGAAGGAAATGATACAAAATAAAAATGAAAAGACTAAAATTGTCACTTTTCAAAAGAACAAGGAAGAAAACTTTATATAAACACATGGAGTATCTGAGAGCACGAGAGCATGTTTAGTTGGTGATAAAAAAACAGAAATATGAAAAACAATAGATTCTATGAAAATGACAAATGAACCCTTAGGCATTTTAAAATATGTATTTAAAAATGATCCAAAACCTGCTTAATAATATATTTGAAAACAATATGAAAGCTGATGGTTATATTTCTAAAAATACATTAGTAGATAATTGCAGAAATAAGCATACTCACTGAAATATCATAAGGGGGTAAAATTTAAAAATAGATTATTAACTAACAAACAAGCTTGTGACCGAGGAAAAAAACAAGTGAACTAGAGAGGACATATCATTCTACAAACAGAACATTAAATTTATTACTTTATTATTATTATTATAATCTTACTACTCCAAAGAACCTTAATGTTCCCAACTAAATTTCAACCTTTAAAAATGTCTAAGAAATTCCTCAAATTCTAATTTTTATATCCAACGTATCCAATATTTTAAAAAGTTAACAGAATCTATTAAAATATAACATAAATTTGAATATTATGTCTAATAGAATTTGTGTAAGTTTGTAAATTTTTAAAAATTGAATATATTAATGATTATTAGACACGAATCAAACACAAAATTAAAAGTTTAGAAACCTCTACTAAAAATTTATCAACTTATAATCTAACCAAGTATTTATGAATTTGCAATTTTCGTCTAGTTTATCTTTCTAAATTCTAAAAATAAGCTTGAGAAAGTGAAAGGTTGAGCAAGAAATATTTGAGATGTTGAAGATATAGATAGAGAAAGTGAAGGCCATTCCATCATTTATTATTAGTTTTTGAGTAAATGAATGTTCCCAAATGGGAGGGATAGGTTCATTCATTCTGTGCTCTATTTCGCTCACTAAAACCCAAAGTGGAAAGCATTTCAGTATCTTCCCCAACCATTTACAACCTCAATTATATTCTCCATCATCAAATGAAATCCCCTATCATACAAAATTCACAAAGAATACCGAACTTACACAGAGAAGAGAGAAATAGAGAAATAGAGATAGAGAGAGAGAGAGAGAAGGAAAATGAATCTTCCATGGTGTGATGCAGAGTGAGCTACATTTTGAGAACCTTCCCCCAATTTGATGCAGCTGACTCATTAACATCATCAACACCAGCTTGGCCTGTAATTCATCACAGTCCTGTAACACCATTAACAAATCTATTCAAGTTTCCAGGACATTTCCCATATTTTTACCTTCAGAATGTAAGTTTATTTTCTTTTTAAATCATGGGGTTCCCTCAAATCTTGTTCTTTTGTTCTGCATACACATATACATACAGTGGCTTTCGAGGCGAACTTACTTGGAAGAGAGATGGCTTATTCTTCTCCACAATGGTGCAAATGATCAAGCCCTCATGTCGTTCGATGGATCGCGGTCCCTTCTGCTTGATCTCGAGAAGAAGCACATGTGCGTCCAGCTCTTTCTGTGCCTCCTAACTGGTTGTGCTTGTGGGTTGGCGTTTCTATTCTCATATAGATCAATCATGTATTGAACGACAGCCTGAGATGGTGACAGTAAAAGCATGAGTTAGACAATTCGAGTGGGCGTAAACAGTTCATTGCGAGAATGGCGTTTAGCGTGGTCGTTACCTGTGCACCGTTTTCGAATATCTGTCTTGGGGGTACTTCGAAAGGATTCTCTTCTGCTCGGAGGATGCGAAGATTAGTCAGCATTCTGAAGGAGTCTGGAAGAAACCGTATCTGGTTGTTGCTAATATCCAGCTCTTCAAGCATTTCTAGGTTCCCGATAGACCTCGGTAGTGCTTGCAGATCCGCGAAGTTGTTTCCGATGTTCATCTTGACAAGTCTGGTGGCAAAACATAAGCTCTCCGGTACAGCTTCAATCTCATTGAAACTTACATCAAGCTCCCTCAGATTCACGAGAGAGGACATGGTTGTTGGCAATTGTTTGACGTTGTTGTAACGCACAGACAAAATCTGCAGAGTCTCAATCCTTCCAACAGCTTCAGGGAGCGCTTTAAGCCGGTTATAATCGGCAGACAGCTCCTGAAGGGATGTACACCGACCAATCGTATGAGGAATCTCCTCAATATTATTCGTCTCCACATTCAATTTCCTTAACTTCACCAGATTACCAATGGATTCAGGGAGCGAAGTGAGCATATTAGAGCTGAGGTCAATCTCCTCGAGATGAATCAGCTTCCCAAGAGAAGCAGGCAGAGATACTAACTGGTTTCCCCTGAGGTCCAAACACACCAAACTGGTGAGATCTGTGAAAGGGCCTGGAAGTTCAGAGAGCCTGTTCGCATGTAAATCCAATCTCTTCAATTGGGAAAGAGCTCCAATGGTATCTGGCAGAGCCGCAAGACGGTTCTCAGACAAATCTAAAGTAATCAAACTGGACAACTTCCCTATAGTATCAGGCAGCCATTCTAATTGGTTCGACAGCTTGTTTCTGAGATTAAGTTCTCGGCTGCCCTTCTTTGCTGAGACTTCAATAAGACTAGCCAGCGCCATCAAGCTTAACTTTTCACCATCTTTACCTATGCATGCAAAAGACTTCTTGTTAAGAAAAACACTTGGAAGAATGGAAAACGGAGAGCTTCTTTCAATCTGGGATATCTCACAAAACAACAATAGACAAAACTAGATAAGAGGAGATTACCCACCTGGAGGAGTTGGAAGTTTTAAGGTTGGATCTTTTATAAAGGGCGAGGAAGAAGCGCCTGGCCTAGCTCCAAAGCCATCCATATACGGCGCTGACTTGCCTTTTGGGACAAAACTGTCATCTCGGGTGAATAATTGAGAGGTGGTTTTTGTAGGTCCTTTGTCAGAATGGTAAAAGCTTGAAGTGGCTGCGGAGGAGGTACTGACACTCCCAGATACGGAAGGAGACGGCGAGTTTCTATTCAAACTAGCGCTAGAAAACGAAGAGGATGAGAGGGAAAGGGCAATGGGACTTTGTTGAGCGGTTGAAGGAGAAGAAGCGCACTTGGAAGCTCTCTGAATCAATTCATCGAACAGGTTGTGGACACCTTCAAGGTCCAGCAATTTCAACGCTTCCCTCTTCTGCTCTTTGCTATGGAAAGAGATCAAATTCCTCTGCATATCGAGCAAGATCCTGAAAAGCTCTTCTGGGACATCCGGGTTCTTGGTCTGTCTTTCAATGGCCTCGAGTCTCGCTTGTTCTTCTTTATCCACATTGCTGATCAGAACCTTGGCCGCTTCAACTTCTTCAACTTCAGGTCTGGCCGGCAAAGATTTGTGGAGATTCGTAATCTCTTGCACCACTTGGGTTGTTGTTTTAGCAGAAGACGACACCTCCATTTTTTCTCCAAACTCCAATCCAGACTATAAAACACCGACAAATACCCAAAATTAAAGAACCATTCAAAACCCGAAAACCCCCATTCAGATTTCCCTCTCTTCTCTCTTTTGACCCAAATCCACGCAGACCCACAAGCCCCTTAGATCCGCAAGAAGAAAGAAGAAGAAAGAAGACAAATTGACCTACTGAAAAATGCCCGAACAAGTTCTTCGAATTTCGCAAGAAATGAAGCGCACCCGTTCGTCAAAACACCAAAACTGCAATCAACATTCAACAGTAACAACAACAACAACAACAGCAACACAAAAAGACCCACCAAGATTAAGAAAGAAAGAAAGAATCCCAGTACCCAAAAAGCTTCAAAAATTGGAGGAAGAACTTGGAAATTGTGAACCGAAACAGAGAGTAAATTATATCTGGAAATGGGGAAGAAGACAGCACAGTTGAGGCGGGTTTTGGAAGAGAAAAAACGAGCGCCAAGAAAGAAAAAGAGAAGAAGAAGATATTAGGTACTGGGATTCAGAATGATTCGGCTGAATATCACCGATACCTTTAAATTGGAGTCAGTTGGGGGTGGGCTTCCAATGTTTTACATTGCAAATCCAGCTATTTCCATGCTGCCCTCTGCCCCCCTTTGGCCTTCCCCCGTTGTTTAACCGTTTGTTCATCTGGCATTCTACTTTTATTTATCCTCTACATATATAGTATGTTATATATATTTGATGGTGATTTTTGTACCAAGTGATCAGATTGGCTATGGAGTTTAGGATATATTAGCTTGAAAGTGATGGGAAAGGGAGGGAGGTTACTTGCATAATGCAAAGGACAAAGTTAATAAGAAAATGAAATCTTTTTTTTTTTTGGTTTAGACTTGGATTTTCTTTCTTTTTACTTGTATGGAATTTTGATGGGGGTGGGAAGTTTTTTTTGTCTTTCGAAAATTAAATATAGAGTTCGGTAAAGTTGGGTAAGGATGATTTGAGATCCAACTTAATTGTATGCATTAAATAAACATCAGCCAGTTTCGTAACCATAATTATTAGAGTGGTAATAATAAAATTGAAATATAGTAAGTATTTTCTATGGTGTACTAAAATATAATTAAGTATTTTATACATCGTAAATTCCAAGCTTATCTATTCCTAGGCCTAGGCTTATGATACACACTCTTATTTATATATGAACGGTCACATATGATACATACAAGTTGGTCAAATTGTCAATTAAAACATAAGAATAAAAAGGGGAGACATTTGAATTCTAAAAGAAAACGTAAAGTTGAGATAAATTTAAAAATGAGTAATCCATAATTAAAGAAAAAGAAAAAGATATGAATTCAACAAATTTTATGGATATGGATCGAATCATCACTAGTGGATCATGATGATCCATATATGTATTTTTACTCTCAACACGTAATTAAGATTTTAGATCAAAATCAACTTTATGAGTTGGATCATTAATAGTTGGCCAGATTCATAATGACTCGTATAGACTTTATGAATGAGATATTGTTTGATCGTTTTTCTGATACCATTATATTTATCTACTCGATCGATTAATCACGTGAAGAGGTAAACCGATTGGGGGCTTTTGGCTTTAATGAAAATGCAAGTGGGGAAAATGCATGAGATGTGATGGAGACTTGTGAGTTATGAAGAGAGGAAGGAAGTAGAGAGATCCATTGATGAGAAGTCTGAGCTTTTGGTCCTCTGCTCAGCTGTGGGTGAGGTAAGGGCGTCACAGGCAATGGTGATTGGTCAGTCACGGATGAGTTTGTGAAACCACGCTTTTTTTCTTTTCTTTTCCTTTTTTTTTTTCCCTTAACCACACATCGCTGTTCTCAAATAACAACAAAAGCTGTCCTCATGTGCCAATGTTCTTAGCAATTCAAGTCATGTAATTGAACCATTTTTGTTCTACTCTTCTTTTTTTAATTTATTGTTTTCTAGTTTATTTCTAACTTGAGAAAAAATATGTTAACCAAAATTTTAGAACTAAAAGTAGTTTTTTTAAAATATATGTTTTTTTTAATTTTATTTTAAATATTTGGTTAACATTTAAAATGTTAAAAAAAAAAGAAAAAGTCTAGATCTTTTTTTTGTTATTGAGTTTAAGTGTTCATTTTGGTTTCTAAACTTTCAGATTTAGCATATTTTGGTTCAAGAACTTTTAAAACGTCTATTTTAGTCCTTAAACTTTAGAAAAATAACTATTTTGGTTCTTAACGTTATTTTTTTTTAACAAATTGATAACATGAACATGTGTTTAATCACATATGTTTGAGATGAGTATGAAGTAAATGAATATTAAGTGGAATAATATACCAAAGATCCTAAAATGGTCATTTTTTCAGAGTTTGGAGATTAAAATAAATATTTTGAAAGTTGATAAATTAAAAATACATCCTTTTAAAGTGTAGGAATTCAAATGATTGTTTTTTAAAGATTCATGGACTAAAATTGACATTTTAAACTAAATATTAATTTTACTAAAAAAAACCAAATATTAAATGAAAACTATTTAGTTAAAAATTTTATTAATAAAAAAAAAAAACTAGCACCAAGTTATTATCTTTTCCTTGAGAGATAATTCTAGTTATAATTTAAAAGGGGGAAAAATACATGAATACATGACTATAAACTATGCAAAGTTATTGGGAAATGGAGCCTTAATGTTCCTAACTTTAATGTTCCAAAAAGCATAAAATTCAAAACTTTTATTGTTGTGTGCTTTTTCAAAATATGGTTTTTATTTTTAGGGACAAAAAAGTTTTAAAGTAAAATAAACTGTTTTTGTTTTTATATTACAAAAGAAAAACTTTTATTCGAAATCTATTTCCTAAACGGCCATCAAAGATTGCAGTGCAGTCCATGCATTGTCCAAAATTGAAAATCTCTTTTGTTATATCTGGTCGAAGAATGTTCTAACTAATTAAAATTAATCCTAAATTAATATTTTACAAACATGGCCATTCTTATTTATTTCCCCTTTAAACTATTGTAAAGTTAAAAATGATTTAAATATGGTCCCAAATTTATATCAAATATGTTAAATTGCTACGAATACAACTTAAACCTTATAGTTTGAAAAGTTTTAATTTAATTATTGTAATTTGATTAATCCTCTCAAAATATCCTAACATTTATCAATTGTTTACGGTCTCCTCCTATTACACATTTTCCATGAAAATCAACTCATTGCCTCTTTCTTTCCTGCCAAAAAAATGTGTTACAAGAGAATTGTGAGCTTTTGTTGATATGTCAACGTGGATATAGCTTTATAAATAAAGTTTGATCATTCGTTCTTATACTTATTTAACTAAAGAAATGAAATGTTTTTTTTATCGATGTCACAATATTTTAAGAGATTTATATTGAAAAAAAAAACTTCTCTATTGCCTAGTCACATTGTAGGAAATTGAGAAGAAAAAAAAAACTCTCTTTTATTCCTTCTTCTCTCCTACCAACCAAAAACCTTAATGGTGGCAGCAGTATAATAGGAAACTAAATTAAATTAAATGCATAATAATTTAACCAATGTTTATCCACCTTTTTTTTTTCTACTTTCAACTTTAGTTCATTTTACTTTTTATTTTTTTGTGTTGTCGTACTCACATTTTATTTATTTTAATCATTGTACTTTTAAAACATCTGTTTTGTTCAATGTATTTTTTAAAAATGACCATTATGGCAATTTATTTTCATTTTCATCTCATCTATTTCAATCAAAATTTTAACATAACACTTCATTCACTAAAATTCTTAAAACTCTTAAGACGTAGTCTATTAAGAAAAATTATTATATACAAAAATCAAAATATTCACTTTTTTAAAAATCCGACCAATAGACATTTTAAAAAAGGACAACTTGAGATATGGCAAAAAAAAAAGTTAAGAATGACATTGTTAGTTGACTTTTGGTTAATGCTACTGATTCATTGATTTGATGTTGATATCCAAGAATGATGTTTAAACCTTTTAAGAATGACAGTACGATATATACTTGATATATCACTGATATATTATTGTTATACAAAAAAACCCTAAGTTTCTATTTACCTGTGATTTCTAATTGATTGCTCATTCATCTTCTTCCCTTCAGTAATTTCGAAAATCACCATTGACGTTCAGTAAGTATCAAAAAAATTTCTCATTTTCTATGCATGTCAATACCTACTGATTTCTAATTGATCAAAAAAATACAAGATAGGATTAAAGCAGGTAATAAAATAGTGATTTATTGATATAGAACTGATTGACTTCTAATATACTATTGATTTACATTTGATATAATAATACTGTCAGATATACTCCTAATATATATGTGATATATAATAATGAAAAGAAATTGGAAAAGTTTACCCGCGATAACTGAAAAGGGGTAATTTGAGAATATTGAAAATTTTAAAATCAGGATTTTTTTTATCTGAAAATATCAAAAAGACATACTATTTTGTTAAATATAGAAAACTCATATGCTACCCATTACAAATCCCCTTTTAAAAATATAAAAACTAAAATAAACCAAAACCCAAAGATGAAATGGCGCGAGAAGGGGCAAAAGGGGAAATAAAAAGAGATGTCGTCATTGTCCCAAAACCAGTTGCAAAAGACAGCGAGTCAGGGGATAGTGGAGGAGTGCATGGTCACGCTGACAGACCAATGGGATGCCACAGACGAGTTTTTTTTCCTAATTAAAAAAAAATCCCTCCTTCTTCACCTCGTCCAGGTGTCCACGTTCTAATGGAAGACACGTGTTGGTTGTTGCTCACCATCCTGCCAACCCTATCCAGCTGTCACTCCCTCCTCACGCTATAACCGTTTCTCCATCTCCCCCTTTTTCCCACACG